CAAACACAAACACACACACAACACAAACACACAAACACACACACAAACACACACACAACACACAAAACAAACACAAACACAAACACACAAACAAACACAAGGGTTTAAAAAAAAAAGAACATTGTACTGAAACTAACCACATTTGAATCTTTTAAAAAGAAAACAAATGTGAGAAGCAAAGATTGAATTCATTTTACACCAATGAACAAAAGTAAAAAGGTTAATAAAAACTAGTGCTGTCCAAAATGGTGCGTTATTAATGAGTTAACGCAAAACAGTTTTAATGTGTTCATTTGTAGCGCCCGAGCACCCAGGCCCGAGCGCGCCCGAGCCGGAACACGAGCGCCTGAGCACGAGCGCCCCAGCACCCGAGCGCGAGCACCCGAGCACAAGCGCCCGAACCCGAGCGCCCAAACCTGAGCGCCCGAGCACCCGAACCCGAGTGCCCGAGCGTGAGCACGAGCGCCCAAACCCAAGCGCCCAAACCCAAGCGCCCAAACCCAAGCGCCCAAACCCAAGCGCCCANTTTTAGTCTATTTTAGTCGCCGATCTCTGCTGAACTAAAGCCAAAAGGAGCTGTTCACTTGAAAACTCCCACTTCATGACATCACAAGGTGGAGCCGAGCGTTTGTAAAGAGTCACTCAAGCATGTGAATGAAACAAACACAAGTCCAGCTCTGTTTTTGTTTTTGAGGAGGAAACATTACACGACTAGGATATAATAATAAATAAATATAATAATAATAAAAGGTGTTGACTATTTGAGTGGTTTCTTACCAAACGGCGGCGGCGGCGGCATGGGCAGCCACGGCGCCGACGGGAACGGAGGAGGAGGGAACGAGAAGGGGAACCCGGGCAGAGACGAGCCCAGAGGAGGAGCAGGAGGAACACCTGGAGCCGCAGCAGAGTCTGACGACGAGGACGAGGACGGGGCCGAGCTGGAGCCTGAGGACAAAACACACACAACACAAACACAAACACAAACACACACAAACACAAAACACAACACACAAACACACAAACACACACACAAACACACACAAACAAACACAAACACAAACACACAAACAAACACAAGGGTTTAAAAAAAAAAAAGAACATTGTACTGAAACTAACCACATTTGAATCTTTAAAAAGAAAACAAATGTGAGAAGCAAAGATTGAATTCATTTTACACCAAAACAAAGTAAAAAGGTTAATAAAAACTAGTGCTGTCCAAAATGGTGCGTTATTAATGAGTTAACGCAAAACAGTTTTAATGTGTTCATTTGTAGCGCCCGAGCACCCAGGCCCGAGCGCCCGAGCCGGAACACGAGCGCCTGAGCACGAGCGCCCCAGCACCCGAGCGCGAGCACCCGAGCACAAGCGCCCGAACCCGAGCGCCCAAACCTGAGCGCCCGAGCACCCGAACCCGAGTGCCCGAGCGTGAGCACGAGCACAAGCGCCCAAACCCAAGCGCCCAAACCCAAGCCCCCCAAGCGCCCAAACCCAAGCGCCCGAACGACCCGAACCCGAGCGCCCAAACCCGAGCGCCCGACCCGAGCGACCGAGCACGAGCGCCCGAGCACGAGCGCACGAACCAGAGCGCCCGAACCAGAGCGCCCGAACCAGAGCGCCCGACCCAGAGCGCCCGAACCGAGCCTGAGCGCCCGAACCCGAGCGCCCGAACCCGAGCGCCCGAGCACGAGCGCCCGAGCCCGAGCGCACGAACCCGAGCGCCCGAACCCGAGCGCCCGAGCCTGAGCGCCCAAGCATCAGAACGCTGATGACTCCCACAAGGAAAACACGAAACGAAGTCCACTCGAAAACATCCCAGCCCCGACATGGAGCGTGGCCAGCGACAGAAGCCCTGCCTCCACTCTACACACACCTCACGCTGCTGGACTCTCCCTCTCCGCCTGAAGCACCAGCTCCACCGCAGCACGAGACGCAAACAAACAAACAGTGCCATGTGACGACGCCGGTTTGTGTAGGTCACACAAACACATTGTGTCACAGCAGATCTCTGGACGTCTCTCAGTCAGGAGAACTTCCTCAGGTCTCATTATTTCAGCCACAGAGGAACTTCAGAGAGTTTGACTGAAGACAGAAGAGACTCTTCGTCACACTGCTCCTCTTCATCACAGTGGAACATCAACACAAAGTCTCACTCACAACTGTTCTGGTTTGTAATAAAACATTTGTACAAAGCCGATCCACTTTTCTCTGTGGCTAAAATGACGATTCAAAAATGGACAAAAATGTGAGATTCATTTGAGATTCATCCTGAGTTCACTACGACATTCATGACATTTATTGATTGACAGCACATTTAAACTAAAATGTATAAAAGTGTGAGCGTGTCTCGTGACAAGTGCGGTGGCGGGGGGACTCGTACCTGCGCCCTGCGGGGCCTCGGAGGGGCCCGGAGCCGCCTCAGCTCCAGGGGGCGCTGCAGCCGCCGCGGGAGGAGGAACAGGAGGAAAAGGACCCCAGAACGGAAAGACTCCAGGAGGGAACGCCGGCATCATCCCAGGAGCCACTGTGGAGCAGAGACAGAGAAACAAGAGGGAGGAAAGAGAGGGAAAGAGGATTTGAACCGTCAACATTTGGTGGAAAAACAGTTCAAACACGAGAGCAAAAAGAAAAAAAAATCTATTTCTTTCAACTGGACAAAAGAACAGATTTTTTTTTCCTTTTTGAGGGCCGTGGGCAGGTTCCACGAGCAGAAGAAGTGTCTGACCGTTGTTGTTGGCAGGAGCGGCGGCGTTGGCAGGTGCAGGGGCGTTGGCGGGTGCGGCGGCGGGCGCGGCGGCGGGAGTGGGCGGAGGGTTGGACGCCCGGAGCACGTCCATCCGACAGGTGGGACACGTCTGCTGCCGCTGGAACCACGAGCGCAGGCAACTGACGGAAGAAAAACACCAGACGACGAGGATTAGTAGTAGTAGTTGTAGTAGTAGTATTTGTACCTGGAGTGGAATATGTGATTACAGGGCAGTAGTAGTAGTATTTGCAGTAGTAGTAGTAGTAGTATTTGTAGTAGTATTTGTACCTGGAGTGGAATATGTGATTACAGGGCAGTAGTAGTAGTATTTGCAGTAGTAGTAGTAGTAGTAGTATTTGTAGTAGTATTTGTACCTGGAGTGGAATATGTGATTACAGGGCAGTAGTAGTAGTATTTAGCAGTAGTAGTAGTAGTAGTAGTAGTAGTAGTATTTGTACCTGGAGTGGAATATGTGATTACAGGGCAGTAGTAGTAGTATTTGCAGTAGTAGTAGTAGTAGTAGTAGTAGTATTTGTACCTGGAGTGGAATATGTGATTACAGGGCAGTAGTAGTATTTAGTAGTAGTTAGTAGTAGTAGTGTATGTAGTAGTATTTTGTACCTGGAGTGGAATATGTGATTACAGGGCAGTAGTAGTAGTATTTGCAGTAGTAGTAGTAGTAGTAGTATTTGTACCTGAGTGGAATATGTGATTTACAGGGCAGTAAGTGTAGTATTTGCAGTAGTAGTAGTAGTAGTATTTGTAGTAGTATTGTACCTGGAGTGGAATATGTGATTACAGGGCAGTAGTAGTAGTATTTGCTGCAGTAGTAGTAGTATTTGTAGTAGTATTGGTACCTGGAGTGGAATATGTGATTACAGGGCATAGTAGTAGTTTTGCTGCAGTAGTAGTAGTAGTAGTAGTAGTATTTGTAGTAGTATTGGTACCTGGAGTGGAATATGTGATTACAGGGCAGTAGTAGTAGTATTTGCTGCAGTAGTAGTAGTAGTAGTAGTAGTATTTGTAGTAGTATTTGTACCTGGAGTGGAATATGTGATTACAGGGCAGTAGTAGTAGTATTTGCAGTAGTAGTAGTAGTAGTATTTGTAGTAGTATTTGTACCTGGAGTGGAATATGTGATTACAGGGCAGTAGTAGTAGTATTTGCTGCAGTAGTAGTAGTAGTAGTAGTATTTGTAGTAGTATTGGTACCTGGAGTGGAATATGTGATTACAGGGCAGTAGTAGTAGTATTTGCTGCAGTAGTAGTAGTAGTAGTAGTATTTGTAGTAGTATTGGTACCTGGAGTGGAATATGTGATTACCATAGTAAGTAGTATTTGCTGCAGTAGTAGTAGTAAGTAGTATTAAGTAGTATTTGTACCTGGAGTGGAATATGTGATTTAGTAGGGCAGTAGTAAGTAGTAGTAGTATTTGTAGTAGTAGTTGTACCTGGTACCGTAGTATTTGCTGCAGTAGTAGTAGTAGTAGTAGTATATTGTAGTAGTATTGGTACCTGGAGTGGAATATGTGAGGGCATAGTAGTAGTATAGTAGTAAGTAGTAGTATTTGTAGTAGTATTGTACCTGGAGTGGATATGTGATTACAGGGCAGTAGTAGTAGTATTTGCTGCAGTAGTAGTAGTAGTAGTAGTATTTGTAGTAGTATTGGTACCTGGAGTGGAATATGTGATTACAGGCAGTAGTAGTATTTGCAGTAGTAGTAGTAGTAGTAGTATTTGTAGTAGTATTTGTACCTGGAGTGGGAAATATGTGATTACAGGGCAGTAGTAGTAGTAGCAGTAGTAGTAGTAGTAGTAGTGTATTTGTACCTGGAGTGGAATATGTGATTACGGCAGTAGTAGTAGATTTGCAGTAGTAGTAGTAGTAGTAGTATTGTAGGTATTTGTACCTGGAGTGGATATGTGTTACAGGGCAGTAGTAGTAGTATTTTGTAGTAGTAGTAGTAGTAGTAGTAGTAGTAGTAAGTAGTAGTAGTAGTAGTAGTATTTGTACCCAGAATTTGCGAGTAAGGTATTTGTACCATTGTGAGGGGGTAGTATTTGCGCCAAGGATGCAGTCCCATGGATTACAGGGCCACTTACAGGGCAGGAGTCATTTGAGAGTAGAGTAAAACCGCAGTAGTAGTAGGCAGTAGTAGTAGGAGTAAGAGGTGGAATATGTGATTACCGTATTTGCAACCATTGTGTGGAGTAAAGTAGCAGTATTTGTCAACAGGGCCCTGGAGTGGATGTGCAGGGCAAAGTAAGAGTGTAGTAGTAGTAGTAGTAATCTATTTCTTTCAACTGGACAAAAGAACAGATTTTTTTTTCCTTTTTGAGGGCCGTGGGCAGGTTCCACGAGCAGAAGAAGTGTCTGACCGTTGTTGTTTTTGGCAGGAAGCGGCGGCCTTGTTGGCAGGTGCTTAGAAGGGCTGTTGCCTAGGTTGCGGCGGCGGGTCCGGCGGCGAGAGCAGTGGGCGGAGGTTGACGCTCCGGAAAGCACGTCCATCGACAGGTGGGACCGTTGCTGCCGCTGGAACCACGGAGCGCAGGCCAACTGACGGAAGAAAAACACCATGTGAGCGGCGTATTTGCGAGTAGGATGTACCTGAGTGGAATAGTGATTACAGGGCAGTAGTAGTAGTATTGCAGTAGAGTAGTAGTAGTATAGTAGTGTACCTGGAGTGGAATATGTGATTACAGGGCAGTAGTAGTAGTATTTGCAGTAGTAGTAGTAGTATTTGTAGTAGTATTTGTACCTGGAGTGGAATATGTGATTACAGGCAGTAGTAGTATATTTGCAGTAGTAGTAGTAGTAGTAGTAGTATTTGTACCTGGAGTGGAATATGTGATTACAGGGCAGTCAGTAGTAGTATTTGCAGTAGTAGTAGTAGTATTTGTAGTAGTATTTGTACCTGGAGTGGTATGTGATTACAGGCAGTTAGTAGTTAGTAGTAGTAGTATTTGTAGTGTACCTGGAGTGGAATATGTGATTCAGGGCAGTAGTAGTAGTATTTGCAGTAGTAGTAGTAGTAATTTGTAGTAGTATTTGTACCTGGAGTGGAATATGTGATTACAGGGCAGTAGTAGTAGTATTTGCAGTAGTAGTAGTAGTAGTAGTAGTAGTAGTATTTGTACCTGGAGTGGAATATGTGATTACAGGGCAGTTTCTTGGCTCCTGTCACCATCTCTTCTCTGCAGATGATACAAACGTTATCAGACGACTGCAGGTCCTCAGGAGTCGCATCTGGATACCTGCACACACGACAGGTGCACACACGACAGGTGCACACACGACAGGTGCACACACGACAGGTGAGACAGGTGAGACAGGTGAGAGGAAGGTAGTAGTAGTAGTATCAGTAGTAGTAATAAAAGCTGTAGTAATTGCATCATATTATTATTTGTTATAATAAGTACAATTCTAAAAAACAAAAAAAAATTTTTAAAAATTAAAAAAAAACTCTTGTGTACAAGACGTGTAAAGTTATTTGAGTATATATATATATTTTTTTTTTTTCAAAATTATCATATTATTTATCCCAATTCTCCTTCAAAATTGTAGTATTACAGTAGTATTTAGTATCATGACTTACAGTGTGTTCATATAGTAGTAGTAGTAGTAGTAGTAGCAGTAGTAGCAAGACACAGTAGTAGCAGTAGTAGTAATTTTAGTAGTAGTAAACACAGTAGTAGCAGTAGTAGCAGTAGTAGTAGTACTCACCGTGTGTTCATGTAGCAGTAGTAGTAGTAGTAATAGTAGTAATAGTAGTAGTAGTAGTAGTAGTAGTAGTAGTACAGTAAACACAGTAGTAGCAGTAGTAGTAGCAGTAGTAGCAGTAGTACTCACAGTGTGTTCATGTTGCGGATGGCTCTCCGGGACATGATGGCGTCTGTTACGGCTTTTTTAAACTGCCTGAAATTTAAACGTAGAGAAAAGTCTCGTTAAACTCGCAGAGTCACAGAAAGATCACAACATTTATCACATTTCACATTATCACGTCACATTACCGTCACGTTACCATTACACTACGGCCACGTTACCATTACACTACGGCCACGTTACCATTACACTACGGCCACGTTACCATTACCACTACGGCCACGTTACGATCACATTACCATTACACGTTACAGTCACATTATGGTCACATTACCATTTCATTACGGCCACATTACTGTCACGTTATGGTCATGTCACGGTCACATTACCATTGCATTACAGCCACGTTACTGTCACGTTACGGCCATGTTACCATTGCGTTACGGTCACATTGTGGTCGTGTTACAGTCACATTACCATTACGTTACGGCGCCGTTACTGTCGCGTTACTCTCACATTACAGTCATGTTACCATTATGTTACGGTCACATTTCGGTCACATTACGGTCACATGATTGTTGTTGTCGTGTGGTGTTACCTCATGGACAGGTACATGGGTCTGATGGCGAACAGCGGGAACGTGTGAACTTTGATCATGATCGTCATGAACGCGATGTACAACAGGACCTTTATGAAACCTGGAAACACACCGGGGTTAGTCCTGGTTTAGACCTGGTCCAGTCCTGGTTTAGTCTTGTTTAGTCCTGGTCCAGTCCTGGTTTAGTCCCGCTCTCACCTGTGAACAGTTCTGTGTATAACATATAAACGGCTTTATTGTCCCAGGGGTTTTCGCTCTGGAGGTCGACGGAGTGCAGCACGTATTTGATGAACGTGGTCAGGACCATCGTCAGGAGAATCGCGTACTGAGGAAAACACCACAAAAATAAAACACCAGAAACATTTTAAAATCACTGAATTCTCTTTTGACACAGAAAAATAGACCAGTGTTTCTACTAATTATTATTAATGTGGTCAAAAAGTACAAATTTTGATGCTAAAATCTGAAACCTGAAGTCCTAGAAGTAACAATTTTTATAATCACTAAATGTTTTTTCTTCTGCACCTTTTTCATCTTTGTGCCAGAGCAGGAATCACTGATTTATAAAGTTTCAAATGAGTTTGAAGAAACAACTGTTACACACTGTAGCGTTAAATAAAGGTGATTAAAATAAAATTCTATTGTATTTATAGTTTTTAAAGTTTTTTTTATAGTGAAGCAGCCAAACCTCGAATCCGAAGACGAGCTGAACCGAGGCTCCTCTGGTGATGATGCTGTGACAGGCGTGATTCACAAACAGGAAGTCCAGGATGGCCAGAAGAGCCATCAGAGCTGAAGTAAACAAACAAACAAAATAAGAAAAGTCAGAGAAAGTCAGAGTCGAGATAAACAAACAAAAAAATAAGAATAACCATCAGAGCTGAAGTAAACAAAGACATAAAAAATAAGAAGAGCCATCAGAGCCAAAATAAACAAAGAAATAAGAAGAGCCACCAAAGCTGAGGTAAACAAAGAAAGAAATAAGAAGAGCCATCAGAGCCGTGGTAAACAAAGAAATAAAAAAAAATAAGAAGAGCCATCAGAGTTGAGATAAACAAAGAAATAAAAAAAAAATAAGAAGAGCATCAGAGTCGAGATAAACAAACAAATAAGAGCCATCAGAAATGTAAACAAAAGAAGTAAACAAAGAAAGAATTAAGAAGAAACATCAGAGCTGAGGTAAATAAACAAAAAAATAAGAAGAGCCCTCAGAGCCAAAATAAACTAAGAAATTAGAAGAACCACCAAAGCTGACGTAAACAAAGAAATAAAGAAATAAGAAAAGCCATCAGAGCTGAGGTAAACAAATAAATAAAAAATAAGAAGAGCCACCAAAGCTGAAGTAAACAAACAAAAAATTAAGAAAAGTCATCAGTCGTGGTAAACAAAGAAAGAAATAAGACGTCAGAGTTGACATAAACAAATAAAAAAATAAGAAGCGCCATCAAAGCCGAGATAAACAAAGAAATTAAAAAAATTTGAGCCATCAGAGTTGAGGTAAACAAACACACAAACAAACAAGAAGAGAAATCATAGCCGAGGTAAACAAAGAAATAAAGAAATAAGAAGAGCCATCAGAGTAGTGATAAACGAAGAAATAAAAAAATAAGAAGAGTCATCAGAGCTGAGTTAAAACAAACAAAGAATTAAATAAATAATAAAGAGAAAGTAAACATACCGGTCAAAACAAAGACAGAGTACGTCTACATACAAGTCATTTATATTGAGAATTAAAACTGTTTTTTTTTCTGAAATATACTGTACTTTAAATAGTAAAAAGTGAAAATCAGACTACTGTAAACATGAAAAGTGTCTGTCACAGTTTCAGTTTACGCTCTTTTACTCATTTTCTGATTCACTTTTATTTCTCGAGGACGATTTGAAACAGAAAATAACAGAAGTGTAAAACAAACTCACATAAAACTCTCATGTGGAAGAGCCAGGAGATGTTGGGACTCCGCTCCATCTGAAAAACACCACCAAAAAAAAAAAAAAAAAGAAAAGAAAAAAAAAAGAAAAATTTGTTCATTCTGTGAACTAAAAACCTAAAACGTGAGTGAAAGGTGAACAGTTAGACAAATAAAAGTCAAAATTCTGGGTTCTGCGTGTATATCTATGTTGGAACGGACATGAAAAAAAAAAAATTAAAATTAAATAAAAAATGAAAGAAAAGAAGGAAAAAAAGAAAATACCTTTAAAATTATTCTTTAAGATTGCAGTAAAAAAGTGAAAATAATACTAGTTAAGTATAGAGACTAAAAAAAATTAAATAAAGTAAAATTAAATTATAAATAGGCCAAAATATAAATATAAAAGAGTTAATGTGTGTTGTTTTCTGTTTTTGTGTCTTGTTTTCATGTTTATTATTGTACTTTGTTTAATGTTATATCATATATATATATTTAAAAAAACAAACAAAAAAAAACAGTCTGACATTTTAAGATCTAAAATTATCTTAAGAGAAAATAATAAAGTGATTTAAAGAAAACATTTTTATTTTCCTGTGATCAGTCTGAGAGTCACTAACGTCATGTGTGTTTTCTGTAAACTCAAACTCAGGACTAAAAGCAGGACTGAACCAAAAGACTAAACCAGGACTAAACCAGGACTAAATTAGGACTGAACCACGACTAAAAGTAGGACCAAAAGCAGGACTAAACCATGTCTAAACCAGGACTAAAGGAAGACTAAAACCATGTCTAAACCAGGACTAAAGGAAGACTAAAACCATGACTAAACCAGGACTAAAGGAAGACTAAAACCACTGTACTAAACCAGGACTAAAGGAAAGACTAAAAACTACTAAAGGAAGACTAAAAAGGACTAAAGGAAGACTAAAAGCAGGACTAAAGGAAGACTAAAAACAGGACTGAACCAGGACTAAAGGAAGACTAAAAGCAGGACTAAAGGAAGACTAAAACCAGGACTAAAGGACTAAAAAGACTAAAACCAGGACTAAAGGAAGACTAAAACCATGTCTAAACCAGGACTAAAGGAAGACTAAAACCAGGACTAAAGGAAGACTAAAACCAGGACTAAAGGAAGACTAAAACCAGGACTAAAGGAAGACTAAAACAGGACTAAAGGAAGACTAAAAGCAGGACTAAAGGAAGACTAAAACCAGGACTAAAGGAAGACTAAAACCAGGACTAAAGGAAGACTAAAACCAGGACTAAAGGAAGACTAAAACCAGGACTAAAAGCAGGGACTGAAACAGGACCATATTAGGACTAAATTAGGACTGAGTCAGGGAATAAACCAGGACTGAACCAGGTCTAAACCGGGTCTAAACCGGGACTAAAAGCAGGACTAAACCAGGACTACACAACTATTTCATTCAGAACAATTCATTCAGAGTTTAAAAACATCATGTAAACGTGCCCAGTGTGGCTTTAAACCTTTCTGTCGTCACGGAGACCAAACCAGACCAAGTTCCAGGTCAGATCTGTGGAGAGGCGACCCCGCTCACAGTCACAATGTCTGTTTGTCGAGGGATTTTTGATTTATAAAACCTCCTGTGTTTACTATAATAACTGGTTAAATGTAAAGTAGAGCTGTTTAAAGTCACACTGTGGAACATTCCAGGCTGAGCGGTGACGTCTCCATGGAAACAAGAAAGTGAAAATGAGATAATTGGGACTCACGAAGTCGACGCGGTCTTCGGCGAGCCAGTGGAAACACTTGAGGAAGAGGAGCAGAGTGAAAAGAGCCACGAAGCGCGGAGAGAAGTCGTCCCTGAACACCGTGAACGCCAAACACGTCTCCGTGACGGCGTACCACGAACGCTCGATCAGGTGCTGACGAGAAAAACACAGACACACACACGGGGTTAGACCAGGACCAGGACCAGGACCAGGACCGAGCAAAGACTAAACCAGGACTAAACCAGGACAAAAACCAGGACAAAAACCAGGACAAAAACCAGGACAAAAACCAAGGACTACACCAGGACTAAACCAAACACGTCTCTGTGATGTTGGACCAGGACTGAACTGGGACTGGGCCTGGGACTGGGCCGGGACTGAACTGGGACTGGGCCGGGACTGGGCCGGGAATGCGCCAGGACTAAACCAAACATGTGTCTGTAACGATGGACCAGGACTGAGACTGGACTGAGAAGGGACTGGGCTGGGACTAAAATAGGACTGAACCAGGACTGAACCAGGACTGAACCAGGAGGACTAAACGCAGGACTGGAAAATGTCTAAAACAGAACTGAACTTGTATTAAAGTGGGACTAAACCAGATCTAAACCAGGTCTAAACAAGGGACTGAACCAGGACTGAACCAAGACTAAACCAGGAGGACCGAACGAAGACTAAGCTAGGGACTAAATCCGGACTGAACCATGTCTAAACCAAGACTGAATTAAGGACTAAACCAGGACTGAACTGGTATCAAACTGGGACTAAACCAGATCTAAACCTGGACTGAACCCTGACCCCGTGACCGTAGTGGATCCGATCATTGCCGCTTGCAGCTGCGTTTCCTGTGGATTTTTCGCGGCGTTTTTTCTTTTTTGTGGTTTATATTTTTATTTTTATTCGCGTGAGTGTTTTTTATTTTTTGAGGTTTATATTTTTATTTTTATTTACGTGAGTGTTTTTTATTTTTTGAGGTTTATATTTTTATTTTTATTTATGTGAGTGTTTTTTTTATTTTTTGAGGTTTATATTTTTATTTTGATTTACGTGAGTGTTTTTTATTTTTTGAGGTTTATATTTTTATTTTTATTTACGTGAGTGTTTTTTCTCTTTTTTGAGGTTTATATTTTTATTTTTATTTACGTGAGTGTTTTTTCTTTTTTGAGGTTTATATTTTTATTTTTATTTACGTGAGTGTTTTTTTCTTTTTTGAGGTTTATATTTTTATTTTTATTTACGTGAGTGTTTTTTTTTTTGAGGTTTATTTTTATTTTATTTACGTGAGTGTTTTTTTTATTTTTGAGGTTTATATTTTATTTTTATTTACGTGAGTGTTTTTTTATTTTTTGAGGTTTATATTTTTATTTACGTGAGTGTTTTTTTCTTTTTTGATGTTTATATTTTTATTTTTATTTACGTGAGTGTTTTTTTATTTTTGAGGTTTATATTTTTATTTTGATTTACGTGAGTGTTTTTTATTTTGGTTTATATTTTATTTTGATTTACGTGAGTGTTTTTTCTTTTTTGAGGTTTATATTTTTATTTTGATTTACGTGAGTGTTTTTTCTTTTTTGAGGTTTATATTTTTATTTTTATTCGCGTGAGTGTTTTTTCTTTTTGAGGTTTATATTTTTATTTTTATTTACGTGAGTGTTTTTTACCTCCATCTCGGCGGCGCGGAGTTGCCCGAAGAAAACTTTCCTCATGAACTTCCCCAAAAGGAAAACCAGGACGAAGGCCTGAATGTACAGCACCTGCACGAGGAGAACCAATCAGAACCCAGAACACGGGTCACATGACGTCACCACACACTCACCTGGTCTGGGTTTATACTTACAAATATATATAAAAATATATAAAAAATATACAAAAATATATTAAAATATACAAAAATATTACAAAAAAAAAAAACAGGACTAAACAAAAACTAAACCAGGACTAAAACATGACTAAACTATGACTGAACCAGGACTGAAGCCAGACTTAACCCAGACTAAACCAGGTCTACACCAGGTCTAAAAGCAGGTCTAGACCAGGACAAGGGCAGGACTAAACCAGATCTAAACCAGGACCAAACAAGGTCTAAACAAGGTCTAAACCAGGACTAAAAGCAGGTGTAAAAGCAGGTCTAAAAGCAGGTCTAGACCAGGACTAGACCAGGACTAGACCAGATTTGAACCAGGTCCAAACCACGACTAAAACCAGGACTAAACCAGGACCTAACCAGGGACTAAACCAGGTCTAAAACCAGGTCTAAAAGCAGGACTAAAAGCAGGACTTAACCAGGATAAACAAGAACTAAACAGGACTAAAAGAACTAAACCAGGACTAAACAAGAACTAAACCAGGACTAAACAAGAACTAAACCAGGACCTAACCAAGGACTAAACCAGGTCTAAAACCAGGTCTAAAACCAGAAATAAAATAGGACTTAACCAGGACTAAACAAGAACTAAACCAGGACTAAACAAGAACTAAACCAGGACTAAACAAGAACTAAACCAGGACTAAACAAGAACTAAACCAGGACCTAACCAAGGACTAAACCAGGTCTAAAACCAGGACTAAAACCAGGACTAAAAGCAGGACTAAAAGCAGGACTAAAAGCAGGACTAGACCAGGACTAGACCAGATTTGAACCAGGTCCAAACCACGACTAAAACCAGGACTAAACCAGGACTAAACAAGAACTAAACCAGGACCTAACCAGGGACTAAACCAGGTCTAAAACCAGGTCCAAACCAGGTCTAAACCAGAAATAAAATAGGACTTAACCAGGACTAAACAAGAACTAAACCAGGACTAAACAAGAACTAAACCAGGACTAAACAAGAACTAAACCAGGACTAAACAAGAACTAAACCAGGACCTAACCAAGGACTAAACCAGGTCTAAAACCAGGTCTAAAACCAGAAATAAAATAGGACTTAACCAGGACTAAACAAGAACTAAACCAGGACTAAACAAGACCTAAACCAGGACCTAACCAAGGACTAAACCAGGTCTAAAACCAGGACTAAAAGCAGGACTAAAACCAGGACTAAAAGCAGGACTAAAAGCAGGACTAAAAGCAGGACTAGACCAGGTTTGAACCAGGTCCAAACCACGACTAAAACCAGGACTAAACAAGAACTAAACCAGGACCTAACCAGGGACTAAACCAGGTCTTAAACAGGTCTAAAACCAGGTCTAAACCAGAAATAAAATAGGACTTAACCAGGACTAAACAAGAACTAAACCAGGACTAAACAAGAACTAAACCAGGACCTAACCAAGGACTAAACCAGGTCTAAAAGCAGGACTAAAAGCAGGACTAAGACCAGGACTAAGACCAGGACTAGACCAGATTTGAACCAGGTCCAAACCACGACTAAAACCAGGACTAAACAAGAACTAAATCAGGACCTAACCAGGGACTAAACCAGGTCTAAAACCAGGTCCAAACCAGGTCCAAACCAGGTCTAAACCAGAAATAAAATAGGACTTAACCAGGACTAAACAAGAACTAAACCAGGACTAACCAAGGACAAAACCAGGACTAAAAGCAGGACTAAAAGCAGGACTAAACCAGGACTAAACCAGGACTAAACCAGGACTATTTGAGGACTTACGGCCATGCTGGGGCTGCTCTTGGTCAGGTAAACCACCGTGGGGTAGAACTGTTGTTTGAGGAGATACGCGTGAGCCACCACCGCCACCGTCAGCGCCAGACTCGACGCCGTGACCAGCGCCGCCCGCACCATCCTGGACTCCGCTCGCCGGGACCGGGACCGACCAGAACCGACCAGAACCGACCAGAACCGCCCAGAACCGCCTCCGACCAGAACCACACCGGGACCACGCCGAAATCCACCGGAAATCTGCCAAATCTGCACCAAACGTCACCAAAACCTCAAGACCTAAAGCGAGAGAGGAACAGAAAGCAGCAGCAGGAGTGATGACGCAGAACATGCAAACGCTTTTTCAAAATGTGTCATAAAAAAAAAAAGACACGTCACAGCAAACGTTTCTGAAGATTTATTTTCTGTTTTTTAAAAAAGTTAAATGTTGTAAAACTTGAATTAAACCAGGACTAAAGCAGGACTGAACCAGAAATAAACCAAGACTAAAACCAGGACTGAACCAGGAATAAACCAGGACTAAACCAGGGATTAAACCAGGACTAGACCAGGGGTAATATCAAGACTAAATCAGGTCTAAAACAAGACTAAAACCAGGACTGAACCAGGACTAAACTAGGACTGGACCAGGGACTGAACAGGACTAAACCGAGTCTAAAACAGGACTAAAACAGGACTAAAACAAGACTAAAACCAGGACTGAACCAAGACTAAACCAGGACCTAAACAAGACTAAAACAAGACTAAAACAGGACTAAAACAGGACTAAAACAAGACTAAAACCAGGACTGAACCAAGACTAAACCAGGACCTAAACAAGACTAAAACCAGGACTGAATCAGGACTAAACTAGGACTGGACCAGGGACTGAACAGGACTAAACCGAGTCTAAAAGGACTAAACAAACCTAAACCAGGACTAAAACAAGACTAAAAAGACTAAATCAGGTCTAAAACAAGACTAAAACCAGGACTGAACCAGGACTAAACTAGGACTGGACCAGGGACTGAACAGGACTAAACCGAGTCTAAAACAGGACTAAACCAGGACCTAAACCAGGACTAAAACAAGACTAAAACAAGACTAAAACAAGACTAAAACAAGACTAAAACCAGGACTGAACCAAGACTAAACCAGGACCTAAACAAGACTACAAGACTAAAACCAGGACTGAACCAGGAACTGAACAGGACTAAAACAGCACTAAACTGAGGCTAAACCAGGACCTAAACCAGGACCTAAACCAGGACCTAAACCAGGACTGTACCAAGGCTACATCAGGGACTGAATCAGGACTAAAACAGCTTAAAAAAAATTAAATAAAAATACCAGTACAATAATTTTTGAAGATTTCTTTTCTGGTTTTTAAAAAGTAAAATGTTATAAAACTCGACTTAAACCAGGTCTGAACAAAGATTTAACCAAAACCTGGAAATAAAACCTGGTTTAAACTAATAAAAACAGAAAATAAGGGAGCAAACAAGCCAGAACAAGGACTAAACCCGGTCTAAACCCGGTCTAAACCCGGTCTAAACCCGGTCTAAACCGAATGCTTGAAGGTTTTATAAAGACACGGGAGTTAAAACTATTGTCTGGCTGAATTTTTGTACAAATATTTCGCTCAGAAATGTTGCAAAGAATGTTCTAATCTGCTCCAGAACAAAACCCCAGTGTCAGAATCTGCAAGTTTACACAATACAATAATTTGGTTTTAAAAATATTTAACAACAATGAAATAAAATCAAGATATAATGCGACATATTGAGAAAAAACTAAAATATAACTTACATAAAACGAAATAAACAAGCAGAACATAAACAAACTGAGCATTCTTGTATCTTTATTAAGGCATTTCTGATTTTTTTTAAAAATAACAGAGTAAATTGAATAATCCAGGTTTAATTCCACATAATTTCATGTTTTTTTCTCTTTTCTTTTCTTTTATTTTTTTGAGAGATACACGTTAAATGTGTGGGTCAGAAGTGCACTCTTCTGGATTTGAGCTAAACAAAAACAATTTATGCTCCTCTGGTTTAGTCCTGATTTAGTCCTGAAATAGACCTGATATAGTCCTGGTTTAGTCCTGAAATAGACCTGATATAGTCCTGGTTTAGACCTGGTTTAGACCTGAAATAGACCTGATATAGTCCTGGTTTAGTCCTGAAATAGACCTGATATAGTCCTGGTTTAGACCTGGTTTAGACCTGAAATAGACCTGATATAGTCCTGGTTTAGACCTAGTTTAGACCTGATTTAGTCCTAGTTTAGTCCTGGTTTAGACCTGAAATAGACCTGATATAGTCCTGGTTTAGACCTGGTTTAGACCTGAAATAGACCTGGTTTAGACCTGGTTTAGTCCTGAAATAGACCTGATATAGTCCTGGTTTAGACCTAGTTTAGACCTGATTTAGTCCTAGTTTAGTCCTGGTTTAGACCTGAAATAAACCTGATATACTTCTGGTATAGTTCTGGTTTAGACCTGGTTTAGTCCTGAAATAGACCTGATTTAGACCAGAAATAGACTTGGTTTAGACCAGAAATAGACCTGATATAGTCCTGGTTTAGACCTAATTTAGACCTGAAATAGACCTGGGTTAGTCCTAGTTTAGTCCCGGTTTAGATCTGTTTTAGACCTGATATAGTCCTGGTTAAGACATGACAAAGACCTGAAATAGACCTGATTTAGTCCTGGTTCAGTCCTGTTTTAGACCAGGTTCAGTCCTAGTTTAGACCCGGTTTAGTCCTAGTTTAGCCCTAGTTTAGTCCAAAAAAAAAAAAACGACTTTAATTTACTTTAAACCAGCAAGAAAACAAACATAACCTCCGCCACAGCTGTCAGACACTTTTATAAATCTGTTGTCGTGTTTTGTCTCGTGAACTTCGAGCACTTTTTAGTTCAACATTCCAGAAGTTACGTGTGTTTTTTGTTTCGTTTTATTTTATACATTATTTATCTCTATAAACGTAGATCAACTTCAAATTTGCCCAGAATCACAATTAATATCCGAACTACGGTGTCTAATCTCGTGTTTGGACCCTTTATTTGCATCGCTTTATCGTATTTGAAGGTGCATTTTGTAAATAAAAGAGTAATATTCTGGAAGTCCCTGGTCCAGCCCGCCGTTAGCCGCCGTTAGCCGCCGTGCGTTAACGGCTCCGTGCACTCACCCGCACGCGCACAAAACGACGCGCTTTTCCTCGTTTTCGCGTCGCAAAACCTTCGTAAATCCTTCACGCTCGCCTCATTTTTGCAGATTTTCGCTGAAACTGTCGCTTTTCTTTTCTTAATGCCCCGGTCCTGCAAGCGGAGACGTGTTTATCTTTGGTTGCTCCCGTTCGGCCACCTCACTTCCGGCGTTACGGTAAAAAACAAACAAACGCGCGAACACAAAACAACGAACAAAAAAGATTAAATTAAACGCTTTTGGACAAATTAAACGCTTGAATATTTATTAAAGATGTACCAAGGTGTTTTCTGCTGGAATGTTTTAAATGTTATAAAAGAAAAAGCGGTACGTTTTAAAGGTAAAAGTCTTTGTGTTATGGTGATTACGGTAAAAATCAACGTGGACCAATCAGAAGTGCGCAGGTGTGTTTTTAGCCTCACGGGAATAACGCGCAACACTTAAAATTAAACTTTTATTACTTTTTTTTTTTTTGTTTGTTTGTTTTTTTTAACTTTATAAATATGTCATTTTAAAATAATATAATTTTTTTTAATTGTTAGAAAAGAAAACGTAACGGACTCTCGCGTGTGAATATGTCAGTGTCCACAGACCGGACCGGAGACAGACCCGGATTTACACAAGAAACCAGGACTAAACCAGGACTAAACCAGGACTACATCAGGTCTTTTTCAGGTCTGAACCAGGTCGAAACCAGGACTAAAATAGAACTATATCAGGTTTAAACCAGGTCTAAACCAGGACTAAACCAGGACTAAACCAGGACTGAACCAGGACAGAACCAGGATTAAACCAGAACTAAACCAGGACTACATCAGGTCTTTTTCAGGTCTGAACCAGGTCGAAACCAGGACTAAACTAGGTCTAAACCAGGACTAAACCAGGTCTACACCAGGACAAAACTAGGGCTAAAATAGAAGCATATCGAGTCTAAACCAGGTCTAAACCAGGTCTAAATCAGGTCTAAACCAGGACTTATCTCAGGACTATTTCAGGTTTAAACCAGGATTCAACCAGGACTAAACCAGGTCTATTTCGGGTCTAAACTAGGACTAAACCAGGTATATTTCAGGTCTAAACCAGGTCTAAACTAGGACTAAACTAGGGCTAAATCCAGTCTAAACCAAGACTTACGTTAGGACTATTTCAAGTCTAAACCAGGACTAAACCAGGTCTATTTCGGGTTTAAACTAAGACTAAACCAGGTCTAAACCAGGTTTATTTCAGGTCTAAATCCGGTCTAAACCAGGACTTACGTTAGGACTATTTCAGGTCTAAACCAGGACTAAACTAGGACTACACCAGGACTTAACTAGAACTATTTCAGGTCTAAATCAGGACTAAACCAGGTCTATTTCAGGTCTAAACTAGGACTAAACCAGGTCTAAACCAAAATTATATCAGGACTATTTCCTGTGTAAACCAGGACTAAACCAGGTCTAAACCAGGACTAAATCAGGTCTAAACCAGGACTATATCAGGTCTATTTCAGAACCAACCCTTCTATTCCCAAAGATCTGCTTCATCATTCAGACTAAAAATCAAATTCACAAAACAAAACATAAGGTCAAAATAAACCAATTACAAAACACAACAATATTTTCAGACATTAACTCTAAATATTTATAATTTAACAATTTTTTTAAGTGTATTTGTGCGTTTTCCTCTTGTGTAGTTGTTGTTTTTTGTTGTCTCTGCTGAATAAAAATCAAATTAAATAAAAGTTGAAATGAAACACAAGGCTGCACGTTGAGAGTTCACCAGTAGGGGGCGGTAAAGTATTAATTTTGAACAAGTCAAAAGTCGTCACGGTTTTAAGATCCTGAAAACATAACTCAGATACAGAACATGAATTATTAACACTGAGCGAAAGTGAAGAGAATTTCAAAACAAACCGGTTCACTCCGGGTTTGGACGTTTGGTGTAAATAAAATTGTGTTAAAAGTTTGTAGTTTTGTTCATCCTCGACTCTAAAAACACAAACAACAAACACATAGATATAGACCTAACAGACCTGAAATAGTCCTGGTTTAGACCTGGTTTAGACCTGGTTTAGACCTGGTTTAGACCTGGTTTAGTCCTGGTTAAATCCTAGTTTAGACCTGGTTTAGTCCTGGTTTAGACCTGGTTTAGTCCTGGTTTAGTCCTGGTTTAGACCTGGTATAGACTTGGTTTAGACCTGAAATAGTCCTGTTAAATCCTGGTTTAGAACCTGGTTTAGAACCTGGTTTAGACCTGATATAGTCCTGGTTTAGGACCTGGTTTAGTCCTGGTTTAGACCTGGTTTAGACCTGAAATAGTCCTGTTAAATCCTGGTTTAGACCTGGTTTAGTACGTGCTTTAGAACCTGGTTTAGGACCTGGTTTAGTCCTGGTTTAGACCTGGTTTAGACCTGAAATAGTCCTGTTAAATCCTGGTTTAGACCTGGTTTAGTACGTGCTTTAGAACCTGGTTTAGGACCTGGTTTAGACCTGGTTTAGACCTGGTTTAGTCCTGTTTAGTCCTGGTTTAGACCTGGTTTAGTCCTGGTTTAGTCCTGGTTTAGACCTGGTTTAGTCCTGGTTTAGTCCTGGTTTAGACCTGGTTTAGACCTGATATAGTCCTGGTTTAGACCTAGTTTAAGCCTAGTTTAAGCCTAGTTTAGACCTGAAATAGACCTGGTTTAGTCCTGGTTTAGACCTGGTTTAGGACCTGGTTTAGGACCTGGTTTAGTCCTGGTTTAGACCTGGTTTAGACGTGGTTTAGGACCTGGTTTAGGACCTGTTTAGTCCTGGTTTAGTCCTGGTTTAGTCCTGGTTTAGACCTGGTTTAGGACCTGGTTTAGGACCTGGTTTAGTCCTGGTTTAGTCCTGGTTTAGACCTGGTTTAGGACCTGGTTTAGGACCTGGTTTAGGACCTGGTTTAGTCCTGGTTTAGACCTGGTTTAGACCTGGTTTAGGACCTGGTTTAGTCCTGGTTTAGACCTGGTTTAGGACCTGGTTTAGGACCTGGTTCCTGGTTTAGACCTGGTTTAGTCCTGGTTTAGTCCTGGTTTAGGACCTGGTTTAGGACCTGGTTTAGTCCTGGTTTAGTCCTGGTTTAGACCTGGTTTAGTCCTGGTTTAGTCCTGGTTTAGACCTGGTTTAGTCCTGGTTTAGTCCTGGTTTAGACCTGATATAGTCCTGGTTTAGACCTAGTTTAATCCTAGTTTAGACCTGAAATAGACCTGGGTTATTCCTGTCTAGTCCTGGTTTAGATCTGATATAGTTCTTTTTTTTTTTTAATTCATTTGTTTTATTTGAACAGGGACACACTGGTCACCTGGTTTAGTCCTGGTTTAGACCTGGTTTCGTTCAGTTTTTGGTCATAGTTTAGTCCTGGTTTAGATCCAGTTTAGACCTGATATAGTCCTAGTTTAGCTCTGGTTTAGACCTGGTTCAGACCTGGTTTAGACCTGAAATAGACCTGATTAGTCCTGATATATTTCATTTTTTTTTTATTAATTTGTTTTATTTGAACAGGGAGAATGAGAACCAGAGACGGTGCGTTGGAGGAGAGGGAGCAGCCCCAGAACAAACAGAAAAATCCCGCACACCGTCTTACTTGCAAACTGTGAAATTTATTAGGACAAACCGTGCAACGTTTCGGCACTGGGCCTTCGTCAGGCAAACAGAATGAGAGCTCAGGTGGCCATCTTAAATAGGGTGTGGCAAGCACCCAAGGGTGACAGGTCATAAAGAAACAGTGCACACAAAACCCCATCATTCAAAAAACAAAGACAGTCAACATATAGTGTCATAATAATACAAATAATAATAATGAAATCATCATATAACGATCATAGAATAATATTAGAAAAGTAAGAAGAATATCTGGATACATATAGACATAGTAACATTCACCCAACTGTAAAATAATGTTGTCGTGCCATATACACATCTATATATACACACAATGAATCTTAAGCTGTAGAACATATACAGCCCACCCAAAACAAGAGTCCTAATGATGTAAACTAATGTCTACAAAAAGATGCTAAGATTAAAATCGTCATTGATCCTTTAGGAGCTAAAGTTTGGAGAGTGTGAATCCAAAATGCTTCCCGTTTGTTTGAGTATGAGGTCATGGTCCCCTCCTCTGGGTGGAGGGGGACATGCTCAATGCCACAGAAACGTAGAGAGTAAATATCATGTCTCTGTCATTAAAATGTACAGCTACAGGGTCGTCCCGGTCGTTTCTTCTGATGGAGCTCTTGTGTTCACTTATTCTTTGTTGAAGTTTTCTTGTGGTCTTTCCAGTGTCCACTAGGCTGCATGGACATTTCAACATGTAGACTACATGTGTAGATGCACATGTGATGACACTTTTTATGGGATATTTTTTACCAGTGTGAGGATGTAAAAAATGATCAGTTTTTACAGTATTGTTGCATTGAGCACAGCTGCTGCAGCGGTAGTTTCCACTGGGTAGAAGGAGCAATAGAGACTGGGAGGATAGTTTAGTTTTGTTTGTGAAATTGGCCCGTACCAGATGGTCTCTAAGATTTTTGCCTCGTTTGTGAACAAAGAGTGGAGGATCTTTAAAGATGGTTGAAATTTCCGGGTCTGATTTCAAAATATGCCAGTATTTCGGGAAAATGTATTTAATTGCAGGTGTATGGGTCGAATATTGGGTGATACAAGTTACGGAATAATGTTTCTGCCTTTTGGTGCTCTTTTTTAATAAATCTGTCCGTGGCTTATGGAGAGCCTGTCCATAAGCATCATCAACCAGGACGTACGGTACCCTCGCTGTTGGAATCTCACTTTCATGTCAGTGTTGAATAAAGTCCTCAGTGGAATGGCAAATTCTTCGTAATCGATAAAATTGACTTGTAGGCAAACCTCTTTTTAGGGGAGTCGGATGGAAACTAGAGGCCAACAGTGAAGTGTTTTTGTCAGTTTCTTTACGATACAATGAGGTGATGATATTCCCATTGTCCTTTCGTACCCACATGTCCAAAAAACTTACTTTGTTAGAACTAAATTGTGCAGTGAATTGAAGGTTGGAATCAAAACTGTTTAAGAGTGACACAAAGCTTTCCAGCTGTTGAATGCTGCCACGGAATATACAAAAAATGTCATCAATGTATCTAAAGCGTTTAATTATGCTTGATAAATATTGGTTATGAGCAGAATTAAATACAAATTTGTTTTCAAAAAGACCCACATATAAGTTGGCAGAGTTGGGTGCACAGACTGTTCCCATGTTAGTGCCGGAAATTTGAAGGTAAAAATCATTTTCAAAGGTGAAATAATTGTATTTCATGACAAATTGGGCAGATCTGTAATAAGCTGGTTTGGATAATGGGCTGTTTTCACCCTCGTGTGGTATATTTGTGTAAAGGCGAGTTGTATCCAATGTTAGAAGATGCGCCTCGTCAGGTAAATTGTTGACAACAGAACGTTTTTCAATGAAATCTGTAGAGTTTTTAATATAGGCTGGGAGGGTCTGAACAAAAGGCTTAATAAAGACAAAGGCGACAATAAAGAGTTAGTTTGTGCCACGATTGGACGACCAGGAGGATTAGTCAAAGATTTGTGGATTTTAGGTAAGGTGTATTTAACTGGGCGAACTGGGTGTTTACAAAAAAGAAAATCTAAATCTGAGTCAGAAATCCATTTATTTGTTTTAGCATCCTGAAGATATGAGAAAAGTTTCAGTGGGGTCTTGGTTCAGTCTTCTGTAAAAACGAGTGTCTGACAATTGGGAAAGAATTTCAGTTCTATATTTGTGGGCATCTTGAATGCATATTGAACCTCCTTTATCAGCGGGTTTAATGACAATATCTTTATCATTCATCAGTTCATTAAGTGCATTTCTCTCCTCTTTCGTGAGGTTGGAGGTTATAGCTTTTGGCTTGTCCATCAAATCCATAATGTCATTTTCCACAATTCTACAAAATGTATTTATGGAGGCATTAGGAGGGAAACACTGGTCACATTTATACAGTGGAAAGTTCCAAAGTCACTCAAGATTCACAGACACAGTTTGAGTATCTGCTGAACCAGGTCTAAACCAGGTCTAAACCAGGTCTAAACCAGGTCTAAACCAGGTCTAAACCAGGTCTAAACCAAAGACCCAACCAAAGACCCAACCGAGACCCAACCAAGACCCAACCAAAGACCCAACCAAAGACCCAAAGACCCAACAGAGACCCAACAAAGACCCAACCGAGACCCAACCGAGACCCAACCAAAGACCCAACCGAGACCCAACCAAAGACCCAAACAAAGACCCAACCGACACCCAACCACAGACCCAACCAAGTCCCAACAGAGACCCAACCAAAGACCCAAAGACCCAACAGAGACCCAACCGAGACCCAACCAAAGACCCAAAGACCAACCAAAGACCCAACCAAAGACCACCAACCAACCAGACCCAAAACCAAAGACCCAAAGAGACCCAACCAAAGACCCAAAAAACCCAACCAAGACCCAACCGAGACCCAACCAAGACCCAACAGAGACCCAACCAAAGACCCAAAGACCCAACAAGAGACCCCAACCGAGACCCCAACCAAAGACCAACCCAACCAGACCAAGAGACAACCAACCCAAAGACCCAACCGAGACCCCCAAGAGACCAGACCAACCAAAGACCCAGACCAAAGAGACCCCCAAAACCGCCAAAGACCCAAAGACCCAAAAGACCCAGACCCAAAGACCCAACCGAGACCCAGACCCAAAGACCCAACCAAAACCCAAGAGACCCAACCAAAGACCAAAGACCCAACCAGAGACCCCAAAGACCCAACCGACCCAACCAAAGACCCAACCAAAGACCCAACCAACAAAGAGACCCAACCAAAGACCCAAAACCAAGAGACCCAAAGACCCCAAAAGACCCAACCGAGACAAAGACCCAACCGAGACCCAACCAAAGACCCAACAAAGACCCAACCGAGACCCAACCAAAGACCCAACCAAAGACCCAACCAAAGACCCAAAGACCCAACCAAAGACCCAACAAAGACCCAACCAAAGACCCAACCAAAGACCAACCAAAGACCCAACAAAGACCCAACCAAAGACCCAACCGAGACCCAACAAAGACCCGACAAACATGGGATGATTTTCAGGTCTGAGATCTGAATTAGTCAAAAACGTGCACCACATTTGTTTTGTTTTTTTTCCAAATCTCCTGTTTTATTTCACTGTGATAATGACAGAAACTCTCGGGACATAAAGTCTGAGCCTCCACAAAAATCCTTTCAACACGAAACCTCCACATGAACCAAAAAACTGCGGAAAAAAAAAAGACAAGATTTATACACAAACCGCGACCAAACGAAAGGTTAGTTCATGACAAGTTCAAATCGTCTCCCAAAAAAAGTCATCGGCAAAAAGAATCTGTCAGTCGTTTGTTTTTCAAAATAAAACCAAAAAAAATTTGAAAAAAAAAAAAAAACACACCACCATTTTCTTCATTATTTGTCTCCAAAACCAAAATGAAAAAAACAGATAAAGATGATTTTTTTTTCAGTTTTTAATTTTGTGTTTAAATGAAAAATGGAAAAAAAAAACTGAACCAGGACTAAAAAAGGACTAAGACAGGACTGAAGTGGGACTAAACCAGGTCTAAACTAGGACTGAGACCAGGACTGAGACCAGGACTGAGGACTGAGACCAGGACTGAGGACTGAGACCAGGACTGAGGACTGAGGACAGGACCAGGACTGAGGACCAGGACTGAGGACCAGGACTGAGACCAGTTTAGTCCCGTCGTAGTCCCGTCGTAGTCCCGTCTTAGACCCGTCTTAGACCTAGTTTTGTCCTGCTTCAGTCTTAGTCCTGGTTCAGTTTTTTCCATTTTTCATTTAAACACAAAATCAAAACCTGAAAAAACAAACCTTTATCCGTTTTTTTTTTTTTTTTTTTTCATTTTGGTTTTGGAGACAAATAATGAAGAATTTTTTTTTTTTTTTTTCCGTTTTCTTATTTTTGGTTTTATTTTGAAAAACGACACACGGATTCAAACGTCAACAATAAACCGTCTGTGTGTTTAAAAAAAAAAAAACGTGAGGAGAAACATTTTTGTGAAAACAGTGTCATCAGTTCACGAATAAAAAAAACAAACAAAAACAAAACAAAAAACAGGTGATATTTGATTTTAAAAATGAAAACCGGAGAGACGAGCGGAGGAAGAGGAGGAGGAGGTGATGGAGCATTACAAAACATTTCGTGAAAGTCCTGCTTCGATAAAAACTACACACATGAAATCATTTGAGGGAAGAAAAATTAAAAAAAAAAAAAAAAAAGTTAAAATTCACACTTGACGAAGAATCTGATTATCACAGTCAAGCCTTTAGTGTTCAGAGTCTCGCGTTCGTTCCGTCCTCTCCGAGAGTTTGTGTAAACAGTTCGGCCGCTTCGGGGACGACTTTAAATAAAAAAAAAATTTAAAAAAACGAAGGGCAGAGGTGGGTGGGGCAGAGGTGGCGAGGGGGCGGGGCAAAGGGGGCGGTTGCGGCGAGGGGGCGGGGCATTAGGACACGGAGGAGATGGGGTTGAGCGGGGAGCCCATCTGCGTCAGGACTTTGTCGAGCCACTGCAGAGGCCCGTGCAGGTGAACCTCGATCCAGCAGGGGGTGCTGGTCACGTCCTGCCGGTGGTACTCTGCACCCCAACCCTGAAGAAACAGAAGAAGAAGAAGAGGTTATATCAGGACTAAACCGGGACTAAACCGGGACTAAACCAGGACTAAACCAGGGACTAAACCCGGGACTAAACCAGGACTGAACCAGTATCTAAACCAGGATCTAACCCGAAGATTAAACAGGGGACTCAAAACCAGAGAGTAAAAAAACAGTAAAAACCCAGGGAGAAAAAAAAATCAAAAATCAAAAATCAGGGAGTTAAAAAAAAAACAAAACAAAACTGTAAAAACCAGAGAGTAAACACCAGGGAGTAAAAGTGAGAGTGTAAGAGTGTAAAAGGGAGTAAAAATAAGAGTGAAAACCAGGGAATAAAAAAAAACAAACACACACACACAAAAAACAGGGAGTTCAAAAATGGAGTTCAAAAAACAGAAAAAAAAAAAAAAAAAAAATCAGGGAGTAAAAAAGGAATGAAAAAACGGAGTACAAACAAGAGAGAAAAAAAAGGAAAAATAAAAGGAGAGTAAAAAAATTGGAGTAAAAACCAGGGCATAAAAAACTAGAGTTAAAAAAAAAAAAACGGAGTTAAAAAAATGGAGTAAAAAAAAAAAAAAAAAAACTGTAAAAAAAGCAAAAAAAAAAAAAAAAAAAACTTTGTAAAAATCAGGAAGTAAAAAAAAAAAAAAGGAGTAAAAAAATGGAGTTAAAAAAGCAGGGACTTAAAAAAAAGCTGTAAAAACTAGGGAGTAAAAAAACAGTAAAAAAAAACTGAGTAAAAACTAGAGTAAAAAGCAGGGAGTATAAAAAAAAGTAAAGTAGTAGTAAGTAAAAAGTTAAAAACCAAGGTGTAAAAAATGGGAGTAAAAAAACGGAGTAAAAAAAATTAAATATAAAAATCAGGGAGTAAAAAACGGAGTAAAAAAGCAGAGAGTAAAAAATCTGGGAGTTAAAACGCAGTAAAAACTAGGGAGTAAAGAAATCAGTAAAAAAAAAAAAAAAACTGCGTAAAAAAAGTAAGTAAAAGTAGTAAAAAACCAAGGCATAAAAAATGGGAGTAAAAAAAAAAAAAAACGGAGTAAAAAAAATTGAATTAAAATATCTGAGTACAAAAACAGAGTAAAAAATCAGGGAGTTAAAAAAGCAGTAAAAACTAGGGAGTAAAGAAATCAGTAAAAAAAAAAAAAGAACAGTGTGTAAAAAAAAAACGGAGTAAAAAAAATAAGGGAGTAAAAAAAACGGAGTTAAAAAAAAAGTAGTAAGTAAAAAATTGTAAAAAACCAAGGCGTAAAAAATGGGAGTAAAAAAAAAAAACGGAGTAAAAAAATTGAATTAAAATATCTGAGTAAAAAAACAGTAAAAAAAAAAAAAAAAAAAGAACGGTGTAAAAAAAAAAAACGGAGTAAAAAAATAAGGGAGTAAAAAAACGGAGTAAAAAAAATGGAATTAAAATATCTAAGTAAAAAAACAGTAAAAAAAATCTAAAAAAAAAAAAAAAAAAGAACGGTGTAAAAAAAAAAAAACTAAAAAAATAAGGGAGTAGTAAAAAAGTAGTAAAAAACCAAAGCGTAAAAAATGGGAGTAAAAAAACTGAAAAAAAAAAATCAGGGAGTAAAAAAATGAGGGAGTAAAGCTCACCTTGACGAAGCTCATGCGTATGGTGCACATCTTGGTGAGCTCGTAGACGGCCTCGAAGCCGTGGTTGACGGACTGGGCGAGGAGCTGAGCGAACTCCTGGTTGTTGAAGATCTTGAGGCTGCAGCCGCTGGGGATCTTGCAGACGGTGGTGGGGTGGAAGCCGTGGTGGTAGTTACAGTTCCGACTCTGGACGAAGATGCTGGTGTCGCTGAGGCACTCGGCGTACACCTCCCCGCCCACGTAGTACAAGTGCACCCCTGGACACCAGAGACGGAGAGACGGAGAGAGGAAGGGTTAGACGAACTTCACCTGATTATTTTTCCACAGATTTCAGCAAAACGTGACCTGCTCCTGAACAAACAGCGACCGGGAGAAGTGTTTTGCTCAAAGACACAACGATGACCTGAACAGAGCTGAACAATCCAACTCCAACTTTTAAGATTTGGTTTTCAAATTGTCAAGACGAGATAAAATTAAGAGAAATGTTACGGTTTGCTGTGTGGGTTGACTTTTTGATCCAACTAACTGCCGCACTTATAAACTAAAATAAAACTAACTAAAACTATAACTAAAACAAACACTAAAAAATAACTAAAACTAACACTAAAACTAACACTCAAATTAACATTAAAACTAACTAACTAAATTATTAACTAAAACAAAAAAACTAAAAAATAAAACTAACTAAAACTAAAAATTAGCGCATTAATTTTGCGTTAACTAATTAACTCATTTTCGCCGACAATTATTTTAACGCCGTAAACGCAGTTTTTATTATTTAGTCTGGGGAGGGCATCTGACACACGGGGGTTAAGTGTGGGGGGGCATCTGACACACTGGGGTAAGTGTGGGGGGGCATCTGACACACTGGGGTAACTGGGGGGCTGACACACTGGGGTAAGTCGTGGGAGGGCATCTGACACACTGGGGTAAGTGTGGGAGGGCATCTGACACACTGGGGTAAGTGTGGGAGGGCATCTGACCACTGGGGTAAGTCTGGGAGGGGCATCTGACACACTGGGGTAAGTGTGGGGAGGGCATCTGACACACTGGGGTAAGTGTGGGAGGGCATCTGACACACTGGGGTAAGTGTGGGAGGGCATCTGACACACTGGGGTAAGTCTGGGAGGGCATCTGACACACTGGGGTAAGTCTGGGAGGGCATCTGACACACTGGGGTAAGTGTGGGAGGGCATCTGACACACGGGGGTAAGTCTGGGGGGCATCTGACCCACTGGGGTAAGTCTGGAGGGCATCTGACCCCACTGGGGTAAGTGTGGGAGGGCATCTGACACACGGGGGTAAGTGTGGGAGGGCATCTGACACACTGGGGTAAGTCTGGGAGGGTGACACACTGGGGTGGGAAAGGGCATCTGACACACACACGGGGGTAAGTCTGGGAGGGCATCTGACACACTGGGGTAAGTGTGGGAGGGCATCTGACACACTGGGTAAGGGCATCTGACACACTGGGGTAAGTGTGGGAGGGCATCTGACACACTGGGGTAAGTCTGGGGGGGCATCTGACACACTGGGGTAAGTGTGGGAGGGCATCTGACACACGGGGGTAAGTGTGGGAGGGCATCTGACACACGGGGGTAAGTCTGGGAGGGCATCTGACACACGGGGGTAAGTCTGAGGAAAGGCATCTGACACACTGGGGTAAGTCTGGGAGGGCATCTGACACACTGGGGTAAGTCTGCGAGGGCATCTGACACACTGGGGTAAGTGTGGGAGGGCATCTGACACACTGGGGGTAAGTGTGGGGAGGGCATCTGACACACTGGGGTAAGTGTGGGAGGGCATCTGACACACTGGGGTAAGTGTGGGAGGGCATCTGACACACTGGGGGTAAGTGTGGGAGGGCATCTGACACACTGGGGGTAAGTGTGGGAGGGCATCTGACACACTGGGGGTAAGTGTGGGAGGGCATCTGACACACTGGGGGTAAGTGTGGGAGGGCATCTGACACACTGGGGTAAGTGTGGGAGGGCATCTGACACACTGGGAGGGCATCTGACACACTGGGGTAAGTGTGGGAGGGCATCTGACACACTGGGGTAAGTGTGGGAGGGCATCTGACACACTGGGGTAAGTCTGGAGAGGGCATCTGACACACTGGGGTAAGTCTGGGAGGGCATCTGACACACTGGGGTAAGTGTGGGAGGGCATCTGACACACTGGGGTAAGTTCTGGGAGGGCATCTGACACACGGGGGTAAGTGGGAGGGCATCTGACACACTGGGGGTAAGTGTGGGAGGGCACATCTGACACAACTGGGGTAAGTGTGGGAGGGCATCTGACACACTGGGGTAAGTGTGGGAGGGCATCTGACACACGGGGTAAGTGTGGGAGGGCATCTGACACACGGGGGTAAGTCTGGGAGGGCATCTGACACACGGGGGTAAGTGTGGGAGGGCATCTGACACACTGGGGTAAGTGTGGGAGGGCATCTGACACACTGGGGTAAGTGTGGGAGGGCATCTGACACACGGGGGTAAGTCTGGAGGGCATCTGACACACGGGGGTAAGTGTGGGAGGGCATCTGACACACGGGGGTAAGTCCTGGGGGGGGTAGTTCGCGCGTGCCGTACCTTTGCCGATGTGCCTGCGCGTGTTCTCGATGGTGGAGTTGCGGTTGACGTTGGACAGGAGGCCCAGGCAGAAGCGGTTCTTGTTGTTGGACGGGTCGGTGAATCCGTCGACGAGCACCGAGGTGGAGGAGGCGTGGTAGGCCTCGCCCACGCGGTTGTTCAGCTCGTAGTACATGATGGAGCACCAGTGCGACGGCTCCTCGTACTCCACCGGCTGCACGTCTGGAGAAACACAAACGCCGACGAGGTTTCGAGCGGGAACGACACTTTTCTACTACGGAAGCCCAGAGGGGGGGGTCACAACAAACGCAAACGCCGCGACAAATACAAACACGACGACACGACAAAAAAAAGCCACAACATACCCAAAAAAGCCAAAACACACCAAAAAAAAAAAAGCCACAACACACCAAAAAAAAGCCACAACACATCAAAAAAAGCCACAACACAATCAAAAAAAAAGCCAAAACACACCAAAAAAAAGCCAAAACACAACAAAAAAAAGCCACAAACAACAACAAACACCAAAAAAAGCCACAACACACAAAAAAAGCCACAACACCAAAAAAGCCACACACAAAAAGCACAACACCCAAAAAAAGCCACAACATACCAAAAAATGCCACAACAAACCAAAAATGCCACAACACACCAAAAAAAGCCACAACACACCAAAAAAGCCACAACACGCCAAAGAAAAAGCCACAACACACCAAAAAAAGCCACAACACACCAAAAAAAGTCACAACACACACACACACACAAAAAAAGACAACAGAAATGACAGCGGGACTCTATTTTAATGCAAACGCCGCAACAAATACAAACGCCACAACACAAACGCAAATGCCGCAACACATTAAAAAGCCACAACACATCAAAAAAGCCACAACGGAAATGACCGCAGGACTATTTTAAGGCAAATGCCACAACACAAACACAAATGCCACAACACTTTAAAAAACCACAGCACATCATGAAGCCACAACACACCAAAAAGCCACAACGGAAGTGACCGCGGGACTCTATTTTCCAATGGACCGATCAAGCGGCAAGTGAAGAAGAAGAACTACAACATGAAAAGTAAAGGAACGGAGAAGTTGGAAACGTAAGTAAAAGTAATTTATTGTTTTATAATTATTCGTTTCACGTTGTAGTTCTTCTTCACTTGCTGCTTGATCGGTTCATCGGAAAATAGAGTCCCGCGGTCACTTCCGTTGCGGCTTTTTTAAAGTGTTGCGGCATTTGCGTTTGTGTTGTGGCATTTGCGTTAAAATAGAGTCCCGCGGTCATTTCCATTGTGGCTTTTTAATGTGTTGTGGCTTTTTGATGTGTTGCGGCATTTGCGTTTGTGTTTGTATTTTTTTGCGGCTTTTGCATTAAAATAGAGTCCCGCAGTCATTTCCGTTGTGGCTTTTTTTGGTGTGTTGTGGCTTTTTTTGGTGTGTTGTGGCTTTTTTTGGTGTGTTGTGGCTTTTTAATGTGTTGCGGCTTTTTTAATGTGTTGCGGCTTTTTTAATGTGTTGCAGCGTTTGCATTGTGGCGTTTGTATCTGTTGCGGCATTTGCATTAAAATAGAGTCCCGCGGTCATTTCCGTTGTGGCTTTTTTGTGTGTTGTCGCATTTGTATCTGTTGCGGCGTTTGCGTTTGTTGCGACCCCTCTCGGCTTCCGTACATTTCCTTTAAGTTCATAAAACACAAGAAAACGATTCGTGACCAGTGAATTTACACGACCAAAGTGAGTTTATTATTTTGGCGATAGCTGCGTGTAGCTGATCACAGGCTCCTGAAAATGTGAAGTTTAAATGTAGTTTTCATTTTTTCTTGAGTTCTTATAAGTTTTTTATTTTTGCTCATGTGTGCGTTGGGTCACCGTGGTAACTGCTTAACATTCTGTCATGGAGATTAGGGAGGCAACGATATTCGATATCAGGGATGGGCATGATTAATCGACTAATCGATAAGTGATCATTAAGAATTTTGTTGAATATTTTCATTATTAATAAACAAACTGTATGTAGGTGTCATTTGTTCATTTTTTAAAATAAAACCAAAAATAAGAAAAGGAAAAAAATATTTTCTTCATTATTTGTCTCCAAAACCAAAATGAAAAAAAAAAAATTGTTATCCTGTTTACGTGACTTAAAATGTGATGCAGGACTGAACCAGGACTGAACCAGGACTAAACCAGGACTAAACCAGGACTAAACCAGGACTAAACCAGGACTAAACCAGGACTAAACCAGGACTAAACCAGGAACTAAACCAGGTCTAAACCAGGTCTAAACCAGGACTAAACCAGGTCTAAACCAGGTCTAAACCAGGTCTAAACCAGGACTAAACCAGGACTAAACCAGGACTAAACCAGGACTAAACCAGGTCTAAACCAGGACTAAACCAGGACTAAACCAGGACTAAACCAGGACTAAACCAGGACTGAAAGAGAACTAAACCAGATCTAAAACTGGACTAAAACAGGTCTGGGACCAGACCGGAACCAGACCATGATTGAGACCAGGACTGAAAACGGTTCAGTCCTTTATCCGTTTTTCCCTTTTTCATTTAAAACATAAAATGAAAAAAATCTGTTTTTTTTCGTTTAGATGTTGGAAACAACTAATAAAGAAAATTAGTTTTTTCATTTTCTTCTTTTTGGTTTTATTTTGAAAAGTCAAACGAACGAACGACACACGGATTAAACGTAAAAGTCGACTAAGTTTGCGCAAAGTTAAGACGAAAAACACATTTTACTCAAAACAGTGAAAATGTCAACACGCCTGTCGCTCTTACACAAAATAATTTACTTAATAAACCAAAAAAATACTCTTGCCGATATATCGATAAAGCAGCCCACGATATCGATACCGCATCATCACATTAAACGATACGATATGTTGATATTTTTGCACACATCTATTTTTTACATTTCGTCTTGTTGTCAGATGATAAAAACAATCAGGTCTGGGGAAGGTTTTTGTGTTTTTTTTGTGAGAGGATGAGCGGTTCACAGAGGCAGGTTGGGTGAAGTGCGTTGCTTAACGGCACAGCGTCAGACTGGTGGTGTTACCTCCTCTGGTGATGTTGGGCTGCACCAGGCTGCTGCTCGTCTCCATGGACTGACTCTCCTGCCCCAGCTGCTCATCAGGAGGCATGTACGCCGGAGGAGGAGTGTCCGCTGAGAAGAGGAGGAGAAGAAGAAGAAGAGAGGAGGAGAGAAGAGAGCAGAGGAGAGGGTAGATATGAAAAGGAGAAGAGAAAAGTGGGGGGAGAAAGGGAGAGGAGGAAGAGAAGGAGAGAGGAAGGAGAGAGGGGGAGGAGAAGGAGGAGGGAGAGGAGAAGAGGAGAAGGAGGATGAGGAGGAGAGAGAGGAGGAGAGAGGAGAGAGAGAGAGAGGAGAGGAGAGAGAGAGAGGAGAGAGGAGAGAGGAGAGAGAGGAGAGGAGAGAGAGAGAGGAGGAGAGAGAGAGAGGAGAGAGAGGAGGAGAGAGAGGAGGAGGAGAGAGAGGAGGAGGAGAAGAGGAGGAGAGAAGAGAGGAGAGAGAGAGGAAAGGAGGAGAAGAAGAGGAGGAGAGAAGAGAGAGGAAAGAGAGAGGAGGAGGAGGAGGAGGAGGAGAGATGAGGAGGAGGAGGGAGAGAGAGGAGAGAGGAGAAGGAGAGAGGAGGAGAGGAGGAAGAGGAGGAGAAAGAGGAGGAGGGGAGGAGAGAGGAAGAGAGAGAGAGGAGAGGAGGGAGAGAGAGAGAGGAGAGAGAGAGGGAGGAGGAGAGAGGAGAGAGGGAGAGGGAGGAGAGAGGAAAGAGAGAGAGGAGGAGGAGAGAGGGAGAGAGAGGAAAGAGAGGGGGGAGGAGAAGAGCAGAGGAGAGGGTAGAGGTGAAAAGGAGGAGAAAGAGGGAAGAGGAAGGGGGGAGGGGAGAGGAGGAGGAGGAAGGAGAAAGAAGAGTGGGAGGAGAGGAAGAGAGGAATGAAGGAGGGGGGGAGAGCAGGAGGAAATGTAGGAGAAAAGGAGAAGAGAAAAGGACAAGGAAGGAGAAAGAGGGAAGAGGAGAGAGAGGGGAGGAGAAAAGGAGAAAAGAATGGGAAGAGAGGGAGAGAGAGAGAAAAGAAGAGGAGGGGAGAGGAGAAAAGGAGAGGGATTGGGATAGAGGGATGAGGTGAGAGGGGGGACAGGGGAGAAAAGGAGAAAGAAGAGTGGGAAGAAAGGGAGAGAGGAATAAAATACAGAGAGGGAGGGGAGGGGAAGAGAGAGAGAGGAATAAGAGGAGAGAGGGATGGAAACATGAGAGACAGAAACAAGAGAGAGGGAGAGGCGGAGAGAGAGAAGAGAGGAGGAGGAGGTAAGTGATGAGTAGATGTTGTTCTCTGACAGGAAACGGTGTCGGTTTACGGCTCAGATTGTGACGCTCTCAAAGTGCATCAGCGTTTCTCTGAATCTGAAGCTCGGAAGACGACTCACACGGACGAGTCCAAACAGAACCGTTCAACTGTCGGACGCCAAGATTTATTATATTTTATTTTATATTATTTATATATATTTTTTATTTGTCTTACACCAGCGAAACTACATTTGCAAACATCAGTATTTTAAACGCAACAAAGGGACAAATTAAAGGCTGTTGTAGCAAAGATGACTGGGTCTGGTTGTGTGGGTCTGGTTCTGTAGTTCTGGTGTTACGGGTCTGGTTGTGTAGTTCTGGTGTTACGGGTCTGGTTCTGTAGTTCTAGTGTTAACGGGTCTGGTTGTGTGGGTCTGGTTCTGTAGTTCTGGTGTTAAGGGTCTGGTTGTGGGTCTGGTTTTTTATTGTGGGTCTGGTGTTACGGGTCTGGTTGTGGTGTTACTGTGTGGGTCTGGTTGTGTGTGGTTCTGGTGTTACGGGTCTGGTGTTCTGGTGTTCGGGTCTGGTGTTGGGTCTGGTGTTACGGGCTGGTGTTACGGGCCTGGTGTTACGGGCCTGGTGTTACGGGCCCGGTGTTACGGGCCCGGTGTTACGGGCCTGGTGGTGGTGGTTAGGTGGTCGGGTGTGGTCTGGTGTTACGGGTCTGGTGGTCTGGGTTGTGTTCTGGGTTCTGGTGTTACGGGTCCGGTTCTGTAGTTCTAGTGTTACGGGTCTGGGTCTGGTGTTACGAGTCTGGTGTTACAGGTCTGGTTGTGGTTCTGGTTATGATTTTGGTTGAGTGGGTCTGGTTGTGGTTCTGGTGTTGCGGGACTGGTTGTGTGGTTCTGGTGTCGCGGGTCTCACCTGGTCTGGTTGTGGTTCTGGTTGCATGGGTCTGGGTCTGGTGTTACGGTGTTATTATGATTCTGGTGTTACGGGCTCTGGTTGTGAGTCTTACTGTGGGTATGCTTGTGGTTCTGGTGTTACGGGTCTGGTTGTGGTTTTGGTGTGAGTCTTACTGTGGTTCTGGTTGAGTGGTTCTGGTGTTACGGGCCTGGTGTTACGGGCCTGGTGTTACGGGCCTGGTGTTACGGGCCTGGTTGTGTGGTTCTGGTGTTATTATGATTCTGGTGTTACGGGTCTGGTTGTGGTTCTGGTTGTGGTTCTGCGGTTCTGGTGTGGCGGGTCTCACCTGGCAGCTGGAAGGGGCTGGCGGGTCCGGAGCTGGCGGGGGAGTTGGGGTAGGTGGTGCTGGCGGGCGAGGGCGGTCCGTAGGGCGAGTTAGGCGACAGGTTGCTGCTGCTGGCGCTGTGGGGCGGCTGGAAGGACTCTGGGAAGGTGGCGTTCAGGGGCATGTGCGGCTCGTTGTGGGTCAGGTTTCTGAACTGGACCAGGAGACTGTGCTGAGGGTTGAACTCGCTGTGACGGGGAACCAACACCGGGGGCAGCACTGAGCACAGAGAGAAGACACAGGAGAACTCCAATCATAATCCCATTACTGGAGTGATCAGATTATACAGACTCAAATCAACTCAAACACAAACTAAAAATTAAATAAATTCAAAAATAAATATAAAATAAAAAATAATCTCTCTTAAAAAAAATAAAAAAATAAAGAAATCAAATAATAAAAAATAATCACTCTTAAAAAAAAGAAAAACAAATAAAGCAATAAAATAAAAACTAATCACTCTCTCAAGAAAAAAAAAATTCAAAAATAAAAAAATAATCACTCTTAAAAAACATTCAAAAATAAAGAAATAAAAAAAAAAAAAAATCACTAATAAAAGAAAAACAATTAAATAAATTAAATAATAAAAACTAACTCTCAAGAAAAAAAAAAGAAAAAATCACTTTTTAAAAAAAGAAAAAGAACAATAAAAAAAAAATCACTTAAAAAAAAAGATTTAAAAAAAAATAAATAAAATTAAATTAAAAATAATCACTCTTAAAAAAAAAGAAAAAACAATTAAATTAAAGAAATTAAATAAAAATAATCACTCTTTCAAGAAAAAAAGAAAAACAAATTAAATAAATAAAAAAATAAATAAATAAAATAAAAAATAATCACTCTCTTTTTCTCTTTCTGAGCAGAAAAGTTTGCGGTGCCTGAATCTGTTCCACCTTGTGATGTCATCATGCGGTGATACAGGAAGTGCTCCACTGTGTTTTTAAACTCCACACACCTTCACTAGAATCATCTGGGTCATTTGAGAAGTGAAGCAAAAGCGTCAGAGCGTGAGCTGCTTCTCCCTTTCGAGGTTTTGACACCGAGACGACATGTTTTTATTTTTTAACAGTAAAAATAAAAATACAGACGGCAGGAGTGTTTTTAAACGAGTGGAGGTGAAGGACGGAACTCGTGATCTGAACGAGAAGAAGGAGGAGGAGGAGATATCTGCAACTCAGGGTCTGTGTGTAAACAAGAGAGAGGAGAGAAAGAAGAGAGAGAAGAGAGGAGGAGGAAAGGGGATAGAGAGGAAGGGAGAGGGAAAGAGAGGAGAGAGAAGAGAAGAAAAGAGGAGAGAGGAGGAAGAAGAGAGAGAAAAAAAGGAAGAGAGAAAAAGGAGAGGAGGAGGAGAAGAGAAAGATGAGAGAGGAGGAGAAGAGAGAAAAAGGAGAGAGAAGAAGAGAGAAAGGAGAGAGAAAGAGGGAGAGAGAAGAGAGAAAAAGGAGAGAGAAGAGAGAGAGAAAGGAGAGAGGAAGAGGAGAGAGAAAGGAGAGAGGAGAAGAGGAGAGAGAGGAGGAGAAGAGAGAAGAGGAGGAGAAGAGAGAAAAGAGGAGGAGAAGAGAAAAAAGGAGAGGAGGAGGAGAAGAGAGAAAAAAGGAGAGAGGAGATGGAGAGAAAAAAGAGAAAAAGGAGAGAGAGAAGAGAAAGGAGAGAGGAAGAGAAGAGAGAAAAAAAGGAGAGAGGAGAGGAAGAGAGAAAAGAGGAGAAGAGAGAAAAAGAGAGAGAAGAAAGAGAGAAAAAGAGGAGAAAAAGGGAGGAGAAGGAGAAAAAAGAAGAAGAGAGAGAAAGAGGAGAGGGGAGAAGAGAGTGAAAGAGGAGAGGAGGAGAGAGAGGAGAGGGAAAGAGGAGGAGAAGAGAGAGAAAGAAGGGGAGAAGAGAGAGAAAAGAGGAGAGAGAAGAGAGGGAAAGAGGAGGAGAAGAGAGAAAAAAGGATAGAGGAGAAGGAGAGAGGAAGAGATTGGGGAGAGAGGAGAGCAGAGGCCAGAGAAGGGAGAGAGAAAAAGAGACAAAGGAGAGAGTGGGAGGCGAGAGGAGAAAAGAGAAGAGAGATGGAGAGGCAAGAGGAGGAGGACAAGGGGAGAGGGGGAGAGAGAGAAGAGGTGTATACAAAAAAAAAAAAAAAAAAAAGAAAAAGAGCGCTGTATCGTCTGAAGGCCGTCCCTCGAAAGAAACGTCCTCAAGAAACACTGATATCTGCACTTCGGGGTCTGAGAAAGACAAAAGAAAAGAAAAGAAAAGAGGGAGAGAAGAAAGGAACGGTTGCACAAAGAGAAGGGGAAGTGAAGCGGGCAGACGGGTTTGTGTTTTTTTGTTTTCATTTTAACGACAGGAGCGGAGGAGGATCTGGGGCCTTGGATCTTCCGCTCCATCTGAAGGACAGAACTCAGAAGAAACACGGAAGCAGAAGAAGAATTAGTACCGTATTTTTCGGACTGGACGCGGCACTTTTTTTTCATGGTTTGGGCGTTTCCGGTGGGACCTGTATGTTTAAAATGTTTGAGTGAAGCGGTGAGAGGTTCTAGTCTTGTGTGTGAGGATCTGCTGCTCCTGTTCCTCCTGCACCACTGTCACTTCACTCTGCTGCACATGTCTCCTGCAGAAAGAGCCTCTGTCCTGTCTGTATCATGTCAGTCGATCGCACCGTTACTTCTGCATCACTGAACAATTTAACATTTAAACTTTAAACTTATAAAGACAAAGACTGAGAAGACTGAACACAAACGCCCCCGAAAACAAAATCAGATTCTGCAGATTTACAAACTGCAAGTCGTGAAATCTGCAGCTGAAAACGGAAATCGAGCAGCAGAAAGAACGTTTGGAGTGAGAGAGAAACTTGTGACACTTGTGAAACTTTCCTGAAGTCACTGGATGGACGGACAAAGCCTGGACTTCAGTGACACCGAAACCATCCTGTCGAGATTCAGAAAGACCGAAATAATTCTAACTGGAACTGACGCCGAGTCTGACGACAGCGACACAGAAGAGGAAGCGGCGCAACGTTTACCTCCGGAGGTCGAGTTGTGACATCGAGGATGAAGAACTGAATGGATTTAGTGATTTGGAGAGTTTGGTTAAACTTGTTCTGTTGTTTATGTTATAGTTAGGGATGGGCATGATTAATCGATTAATCGATAATTGATCATTAAGAATTTCATCGATTACGTTCATTTTAATTGACAAACTGAATGTAGTTGTCTGTGTGTGTCGTGACCAAACAGGTGTGTACATGTGTCTCTGCATCAGAAGGAGCGAGACACAAACAGTGGGTCAGTCTGTAACGAACCGAAGCACAAATGTGGATTTAACCGATGATTTGTACAAGAAATTCCACACTTTCCGTTGCGTTGGGACAAGTGTGAGTCCATGTGCACAGTGGATAAAGCAGCACATATGTTTCTGTGTCCAGTGGGAAAAAGTTTTTCCAGGTGAGAGTCGCTCAATGTGGATGACGAGGCCCCGCCCCCCTCCCCCCGTACGCTGTCCTGGTTTTGACAAACACAAATCTGGTCACACTGACCTGTATTCACCTGAGTCATGTCTTTTAATCCAACACAAGTTGAACCACATCAGCGACACAAGAGCTGGAGTTTTATCTTCACTTAGTTTATGTAAATTAGTGATGTGGTTTTAAGTTTTGTTTCTTTCTGTGAGATTTGAACAAAACTGAAATTAAACACATTATAATGTCAAACAGCTGATGTGGCTCCAGAGTCGTTACGGTTTATATGTCGTAAAGTTGAATTTATTTATGCAGATTAGATTAGTGCAGATAGTAATAATAATGATGATCATTTTAATATAAAAACGTTAATGATTAATCGATAATCGATCGTTCATTCTTCCGACGATCGATTAAGAAAATTTCATCGAATGCCCGTCACTAGTTCTAGTTTACCTGAAGAACTGTGAAATATGTGACGTTAACAGTCTGTTGTTATTACTACAACTTGACTTTACACAGGAAATGTCAGCTCCTGGTCTCTGATTTTATAAAATAAATTTCCCCAAAAAGTGAAATGTTTTTTTGTGTTATATTTTTTTGACTGGTGCAACTTATAGTCGGAAAAATACAGTTGTAGAAGTAGAAGACGAAGAAGACGACTTATTTTCTTGGCTAAAGCGCTCGCTCTGCTGTGCCGAGTGATGACGTCATTGGCCGTGGCTCGGTTCGGTTTGTGCAGGGACGAGCCAGTTTCCCAATTACAAATCCTGGCCTATGACCGATTATGACATGATTTTGTCTAAACTCAGGTCCCGTCCACACTAGACGTATTCGAGTCGTTTTCGTTGTGTATGCAGTGTTCGTTCACACTAATCCGATGGAAAACTGGGGGTGATGTGCTTCGCTTCAGTGACACGGAGTTCATTAACAATTTTCTCCTACTTCAGCGCAGAATAGTGACGAAGTGTCCTGGGTCACATTTGAAAAAAATCGGATCCGTGTCGTTCAGACTGTCATTAAAAGATCAGATACAGGAACATAGAGACAAAAAAATCAGATTTGGGTCACTTCATGCTGCAGTCTGAACGTAGTCTTAGTCCAACAGAAGCTGAACCACATCAGCGACACAAGGAAAGAACTGTTTTTTTTGAGCGCTTAGTTTATGCAAATGAGTCATGTTTTTTTAAGTTTAGTTTCTGTAAAACGTAAACAAACACAGAAACGACGTGTCTGGACGCAGATCGTTTCCGATACGGTGATTCGTTTCAGTGTAAAGCGTAAACCTTAGTCTGTAGTTAAATTTTTTTAGTTCGTCTTTACGAGGGAACCTTCTGCAGATCCACCACCCAACACCAGAGCTCAGGCAGGAAAGCACGCTCAGACTCCTTTCTTTTTTGTTTTTGTGCTCATCTTCTTTTTTTTTTGAGAAGCGGGTGGACGGCCGTTTCGAGGTTCGGACACCGAGATGTCGCGTTTTTCCCGTTTTACCGACACGAGCGGCGGGAGGGGTTTTAACCGCGGCGTCTGAAGGCCGTCCCGTCGAAAGAAACGCGGTCGAGAAGCTACCGAAAACCTGCTCTTCGGGGTCCGCGAGCGAACGAGTGACGGAGAGAGGAGGAGAAAAGGAAGAAGCGGCTGCACGGAGAGAAGAGGCGTGTGCAAAAAGAAAACGGAAGAGTGGAGAGAGACGGACAGAACGAGATTAAGAGAGCACACAAAAACGCAAAATGAAAAACGGACAGAGGAGAGGTGGAAGATGGAGGAGAGAGCGAAGAGATTCTAGAGCTGAAAGAGGAAAAGAGAGGAGATGGTTTTATTTGGACAGTGAAGGATTCTTGGAGCTTTCAGATGCCTCTCTCTTCTGCAGCAGCTATCAGTTTAATTTAATAAAAGAGAGGGATGAGGGAGAGGGGGATGGACAGAGAGAGAGGCAGAGATGGAGGGATATTGATTTTGCGAGGCGGACGGACGGAGGGAGGGAAGGGTGGAGGGTCTGACGTTCAGCAGCTCCGCAGAGACCCGGGCTTAAATCTCCTGCACTCAGCGTTCTGCAGACCCAGGCCCTGTGGGGATTCTTCCTCGTTGTAAAAAAACAAAAACAAAGCTGCACTCTGGAACTTTCCCGGTAGTGGAAGACACGCCACCTGCTCGTCTCCGCGGAGATTATTTCTTAAATCTGGAGTGTTTTAAAGTGTGGCGTTAACTCTTTCCCCCCTGGACGCCGACTAGGAACAACCCATACATATGTTACTAGTTCTACCCATAGAGCATCACTGCATAAAAGAAAACACACTTCCACAAGTGATTATAAATGATTTTTACACTCATGAACTTAATTGTAACACAGACATATTTGTATCTCTGGAAACCTTAGACTCTGAACTCTTCATTTATGGATGTTTAAATGTGATTCAACTCATTTACAGGTGTATAACAGCTCACTGAAAATGAGAGTTTACCTGGTCAGGTGCAAACTCGAAAACAAAAAACTATATTCAGCATCTGATATCTGCATGTTCTGAGAACTATATTCATAAAAAAAAAAATATACTTTGTCAAAGTATTTAAACAGATTTCATATCATCACATACAGTAAAGCCAAGTGTTCACCTGTTTTTACCTGTTGTTCACCTGTGTGGACCCAATTCATTTTTTCCATTTAACTTATTCAACTCATTTATCTTATTATAATATAATAATATAATAATAAAACTCTTCCCCGTCAGTGTGTGTTCAGTATTTGTCATCTTGGTTATTTTCTCGTGTGCAGAGCTCCACATAAGTGTTTTTTCTGTAGTGATTCTGTTAAACATCGCATCTTGGAAAAAAAAGACTGAAATATTTTAAAGGACTGGCCTGGGCAACATCCAGATTTCAGGGCAATTTTGGTTCATAATCGAGTATAAAGCTCAGATAGTTTGTTGGGACATCGCAGGACTCCACACAGACGCATCAGCGGCATCTCACCTTCTCCCCGAAAGTCCGTCGCTGTCGCTGTTTTCCACTTTATAATCAACTTCAACATCACTTTGAAACCTATAAAAGTCACTTTCTCTAAACTTATCCATAAAATACGTCCGCTCCTCATTATTTCTAAAACTGTGCGCCGCAGCGCCGCGATCTTTCCATTGCATGTGTGTTGTGTTGTGTTTTTTCCGGAAGCTACCATCGTCACTATTTCGATTAACTTCGGAAAAAATCGGCGAAAACATATCCTTGAATCCTATTGGTCAGTCTAGTGTGGGTTGTAGTGGCCCCCACCCTATCACAGCCTCTGTTTAAATGTGAAAAACCGCCATTTCTAAAGGTCGTCAAATCTCGTCTTTAGTGATACGGCGGAGGAGTCAAAAGTCGTCATTAAGGGTTCGGGGGGGGGGGAGGGTGAGGGACAGAGCGAGAACGCACGGTTTTAAAGATTTCTATGTCACAAACTGCAAAAAAAAAAAAAAAAACTTGGTCAAAATGTCAAATATAAACACTTAAATCAATCAGAAAATCACTTAAAAGTAGTTAAATGCATGAAACTCGCCTATTGAAAGAAAGGAAAGTCGAGTACAGGAAATGCGTGTAGTGCGGCGGTAGAGACGACCAATCACGGCTCTTATCGTCTGCGTCGCTTCCACGTGTAGTTATAAAATTTCGGAGGTGCATGTTGGTTGCTGCGTAGGGGGTACGTGTCGACGCAGACGATTTGACGCCGGACCGTAAATTGGCCTCAGGTCCGTGAGTACCCGACCTGGAGCGGGACTCTGAAATTCCCGAACCACAACAGCCTCGCTTACCGACCTCGGACCGATTTTCTGTGGTACACGGAGCTCAAAAATCTGTCAAAATGTTTTCGTACGACTTCGGTAAGTTACAAAGCCGCACCACTTGATGGATTGTAAAAGTTTCAAACTGAAATAAATTCAGGCTACAAATACAAACCTTAGAGCAAAGTATAAATACATGAAACTACAACTACTACAACAAAAACTACTACTACTACAACGACTACAACAAAAACTACTACTACTACTACTACTACAACTACTACAACAAAAACGACTATAACGACTACAACGACAACGACTACAACTACTACTACTACTGCAAGTACTACTACTACAACAACTACTACAACTACTACTGCTTCTACTACTTGTACCGCAATTACTACAACTACTACTACAACAACAACCACTACTACAGCTACTACTCCCACTACTACTACAACCACTACTACAACTACGACAACGACTACTACTACTACTGCAAGTACTACTACTACAACAACTACAACAACTACTACTACTTCTACTACAACAACAACTACTACTACAACAACTACTACTACTACTGCAACAACTACTACTACTGCAACAACTACTACTACTGCAACAACTACTACTACTGCAACAACTACTACTACTGCAACAACTACTACAACTACTACTACAACAACTACTACTACAACAACAACTACTACTACAACAACAACTACTACTACAACAACTACTACTACTGCAACGACTACTACTACTGCAACTACTACTACTACTGCAACTACTACTACTACTGCAACTACTACAACTACTCCTCCTACTCCTACTACTACTACAATAACTACTACTACAACAACTCCTCCTACTACTACATATAAATAAAAATGATTAAAAAATATATATAAACACACAGTGGAGCACTTCCTGTACCACCACGTGACATCACAAGGTGGAAGTGTGGAGTGTTTCCAGTTCCGAGAGAAGAACTCAAAACCCAAAAAGAAACTGGCACTGCGCAACTTTTCTCCGCGGAGACTGTCGTCGCCTCGTCAGGAACGTTCCACAGTGCGGCTTTAAACCTCTCTATCGTCACGGAGACAGACCGAACCTGAGCAAGTCACGGGGTCAGGTCTGCGGAGAGGCGACGCCGCTCACGGTCAGAACGGGGTTTTCTAAGTATTTCTGAGCTATGAAACCATCCGTAAGTGAATAAATGTGAAGCGGAGCCGTTTAATGTCGCACTGCGGAACATTCCGGAAGCGGGTGACAGACTTCCAACCGGAAAAAGCGACAGAGTGCAGCTTTAATGCGCGCAGGGGGTGGGAGTAGGGGGCGTACCTGGGCTCTCCACTCGTTTGTAGTGGTACGGGTTGATGCAGACTTCCTTCTGTTTGGAGCCGAAGGGAAACTCGCACAGCTCCAGGGGCTTGAGCTCGTGGTGGGACTGGAGGTCGGGCCACCTCCAGACGCGGCAGTAGATCACGTGAGGGAGACCCTTCCTGTGGGACACCTGCGGGGGGAGAAGACGCACACGGGGCGGGGGGTCAGGACGGGACACCCAGAGCCTGGGCTTGGGGTCACTTTAGAAGGGATTTTTCTTTCTTTTTTTTTTTTTTTTTAAAATCGACGATCAGTCCCAGTTCGATCCCGGTTCGGTCCCGTTTTAGTCCCGGTTCAGTCTTGTTTTAGTCCCAGTTCGGTCCCGTTTTAGTCCCAGTTCGGTCCCGTTTTAGTCCCAGTTCGGTCCCGTTTTAGTCCCAGTTCGGTCCCGTTTTAGTCCCAGTTCGGTCCCGTTTTAGTCCCAGTTCGGTCCAGTTTTAGTCCAGTTCGGTCCAGTTTTAGTCCCAGTTCGGTCCAGTTTTAGTCCCAGTTCGGTCCAGTTTTAGTCCCAGTTCAGTCTTGTTTTAGTCCCAGTTCAGTCCTGTTTTAGTCCCGTTTTAGACACGTTTTAGTCCCAGTTCAGTCTTGTTTTAGTCCCAGTTCAGTCTTGTTTTAGTCCCAGTTCAGTCTTGTTTTAGTCCCAGTTCAGTCTTGTTTTAGTCCCAGTTCAGTCTTGTTTTAGTCCCAGTTCAGTCTTGTTTTAGTCCCAGTTCAGTCCTGTTTTAGTCCCAGTTCAGTCCTGTTTTAGTCCCAGTTCAGTCCTGTTTTAGTCCCAGTTCAGTCCTGTTTTAGTCCCAGTTCAGTCCTGTTTTAGTCCCAGTTCAGTCTTGTTTTAGTCCCGTTTTAGACACGTTTTAGTCCCAGTTCAGTCTTGTTTTAGTCCCGTTTTAGTCCCATTTTAGTCCCAGTTCAGTCTTGTTTCAGTCCCGGTTCAGTCCCATTTCAGTCTTGTTTTAGTCCCGTTTTAGTCCCAGTTCGGTCCAGTTTTAGTCCCAGTTCGGTCCAGTTTTAGTCCCGTTTTAGTCCCAGTTCGGTCCAGTTTTAGTCTTGTTTTAGTCCCAGTTCAGTCTTGTTTTAGTCCCGTTTTAGTCCCATTTTAGTCCCAGTTCAGTCTTGTTTTAGTCCCAGTTCAGTCTTGTTTTAGTCCCAGTTCAGTCTTGTTTTAGTCCCAGTTCAGTCTTGTTTTAGTCCCAGTTCAGTCTTGTTTTAGTCCCGTTTTAGACACGTTTTAGTCCCAGTTCAGTCTTGTTTTAGTCCCATTTTAGTCCCAGTTCAGTCTTGTTTTAGTCCCAGTTCGGTCCAGTTTTAGTCCCAGTTCGGTCCAGTTTTAGTCCCAGTTCGGTCCAGTTTTAGTCCCGTTTTAGTCCCAGTTCGGTCCAGTTTTAGTCTTGTTTTAGTCCCAGTTCAGTCTTGTTTTAGTCCCGTTTTAGTCCCATTTTAGTCCCAGTTCAGTCTTGTTTTAGTCCCGTTTTAGTCCCATTTTAGTCCCAGTTCAGTCTTGTTTTAGTCCCAGTTCAGTCCCGGTTCAGTTCTTGGTTTAGTCCCAGTTCAGTCCCGGTTCAGTTCTTGTTTTAGTCCCGGTTCAGTTCTTGTTTTAGTCCCGGTTCAGTCGGTTCAGTCTTGTTTAGTCCCGTGTTCAGTCCCGGTTCAGTTCTTGGTTTAGTCCCAGTTCAGTCCTGGTTCAGTTCTTGTTTTAGTCCCAGTTCAGTCTTGTTTTAGTCCCAGTTCAGTCCCGGTTCAGTTCTTGGTTTAGTCCCGGTTCAGTCCCAGTTCAGTCTTGTTTTAGTCCCGGTTCAGTCTTGTTTTAGTCCCGTTCAGTCTTGTTTAAGTCCCGGTTCAGTCTTGTTTTAGTCCCGGTTCAGTTCTTGTTTTAGTCCCGGTTCAGTCCCAGTTCAGTCTTGTTTTAGTCCCGGTTCAGTCTTGTTTTAGTCCCGGTTCAGTTCTTGTTTTAGTCCCGGTTCAGTCCCGGTTCAGTTCTTGTTTTAGTCCCGGTTCAGTCTTGTTTTAGTCCCAGTTCAGTGCCGGTTCAGTTCTTGTTTTAGTCCCAGTTCAGTCCCGGTTCAGTTCTTGTTTTTAGTCCCGGTTCAGTTCTTGTTTTAGTCCCGGTTCAGTTCTTGTTTTAGTCCCAGTTCAGTGCCGGTTCAGTTCTTGTTTTAGTCCCAGTTCAGTCGGTTCAGTTCTTGTTTTAGTCCCGGTTCAGTTCTTGTTTTAGTCCCGGTTCAGTTCTTGTTTTAGTCCCGGTTCAGTCCGTTATCGTTTTTTCCATTTTGATTTTCGACACAATAGTGAAGAAAACAGTTGCTCTTTTCGTTTTCTTATTTTTGATTTTATTTTGAAAAAACAAACGAATGAACGACACACGGATTTAAATCGAGATAAAGCAAAACATATCGATTATAGAATTTTCGCCCCATATTTTTCAACACACAGAGCTAAACAAATAAGTGTGTGTGTATATATATGTGTAGTGTATATGTGTAGTGTGTGTGTGTGTTACCTGCAGGCGTCCGTCCAGAGACCTGGGGATGGTCACACACTTGCTGGGTTGCCCGGGGCAGCTCAGGGCCTTCTCCAGGTCCTCCATCGCGCCCTTCTTCTTCTTCAGCTTCTTGACCAGCGCGTCCACGGCCTTCTCCGCCCACTTCTCCTCCTCGTCGCCCTGCTTCCACCCGAGCAGGCGCTTCACGGCCGGGCTCGTGAACGAGAACAGGCTCGACATCGACGTCATGTCTCCGCGCGGCGACCACAACGACGACGACCCGTTTAGATCCGGTTCGAGGCCTGGTTTAGATCCGGATTAGTTCTGGTTCACGCACACGATTCCCTCCCGGTTCAGACTTTGTTCAGTCTCTGGTTTAAAGTCTCGCTTAATCCTGGTTTAGTTCTGGCTCAGACCGAGTTCCGTCCTGGTTCAGACTTGGTTCAGTCTCTGGTTTAAGGCCTGGTTTAGTTCTGGTTCAGATCTAGTCCCCCTCCTGGTTCAGACTTGGTTCAGGCCCTGGTTTAAGGCCTGGTGTAGATCTCGTCCCCTCCTGGCACAGATTTTGTTCAGTCTCTGGTTTAAAGCCCGGTTTAATCCTGGTCTAGTTCTGGTCCAGACCCAGTTCCCGCCTCGTTCGGACTTGGTTCAGGTCCCACTTTAGTCCTGGTTCAGATCTAGTCCCCTCCTGGTTCAGACTTGGTTCAGGCCCTGGTTTAAGGCCAGGTTTTGTCCTGGTTCAGATTTTATTCAGTCTCTGGTTTCAAGCCCCGTTTAATCCCGGTTTAGTTCTGGCTCAGACCCAGTTCCCGCCTCGTTCAGACTTGGTTCAGGTCCTGGTTAAGTCCTGGTTTAGTTCTGGCTCAGACCCAGTTCCCTCCGAGTTCAGACCTGGTTCAGGAGCTGGTTTAGTCCTGGTTCAGATCCAACTCCCTCCTGGTTCAGATTTTATTTTATTTTTTTCAGTCTCTGGTTTGAAGTCTCGTTTAATCCTGGTTCAGTCCTGGTCCAGGCCCTCGTTTAAGGCCCGGTTTAGTCCCGGTTCAGATCCAGTTTTCACGCTCTTTAGTCCCGGTTTAACCTGGTTTTCCGAGTCCTCGTTTCTCTCTTGCTTTTCCCGTCCACTCCTCGGCGTAATTCCGATTTGAATTCCTGATTTATTTTCACCGCATTTTCCGATAATTTCTTCCGATTCCAGGCGGGTTCTTACGTCTCAAGTTTTCACCGACGGCTGGAGACGAAATAAAACTGTTTTTTTGGGAAAGGTTTGTCCAGAAATTAAAACAAAAAAAAGAAAAAAAAAAGGAGGAAACTGAAACGGCGATCCAAAAAAAAAAAAAAAAAAAAAAAAAAAAAAAAATGGGGGGGAAAAAGTCGGAGGAATCGGAGAAACGTCGGAGCGCGGGGGAAAAAGTCCAAATGTGTGTCGGGGACGGTCGTGAGAGAGGGAGAGGCGTGGTGCCGGAGAGTCCAAGGACAGGAAGCAGAGATGGAGGAGGAGGAGGAGGAGGGGGGAGTCAGGACGCAGCTGCCCAGGAAGAGCCTCCTCTGTCTGGGGCAGCGCTGGAACGACGCCGGGCCAAAGAAAAGTCCACGGAGGAAAAAAAACAAGAAAAACACAAAACCCTCGCACAAAAAAGGTCAGAGGATTCCGAAGTGATCACAGAATCATCCTGAAACAAAAAAAAAAGAGGAAAAGAGGTCGTTACCGTCACAAATCAATAAAGTAAAAAATCGACTAAAGTATCGATAATCGGAGCCGGATCCAGACCCGACCCGGGATCGAAACTGGAGCCGTGTTTTCCGCAGGTTTCGAGACTAAACAAACAAAAAAAAAACGAAATCCCACCGACGGGACAGAGCGGGAACTAGAACCGGAACGTGTTTTAGAACGATCTGGAACTGGATCAGAACAAGGACAAGAGCGCAGAGACGGACCTGGTTCAGACCTGGTTTAGACCCAGTTCAGACCTGGTTTAGACCCGTTCAGACCTGGTTCAGACCTGGTTCAGACCTGGTTCAGACCTGGTTCTAGTCCTAGGATTAGTGCTGTTTAAATCCTGGTTTAATCTCTGGTTCTGATATAGTCCCGGTTTTAGTCCCAGTTTAGTCCTGTTTTAGTCCTGATCTAGCCCCGGTTTTAGTCCCAGTCTATTTCAGTTTTAGTCCCAGTTTAGTCCTGTTTTAGTCCTGATCTAGTCCCACTCTATTCCTGATTTTAGTCCCAGTTTAGTCCTGTTTTAGTCCCGATATAGTCCCAGTTTTAGTCCCGATTTAGCCCCAGTTTTAGTCCCAGTCTAGTCCTGTTTTAGTCCGATTAGTCCCCAGTTTTAGTCCCAGTTTAGTCCCGTTTTAGTCCCAATTTAGCCCCGGTTTTAGTCCCGATTTAGCCCCGGTTTTAGTCCCACTCTATTCCTGATTTTAGTCCCAGTTTAGTCCTGTTTTAGTCCCGATATAGTCCCAGTTTAGTCCCGATCTAGCCCCAGTTTTAGTCCCAGTTTAGTCCCGATCTAGCCCTGGTTTTAGTCCCAGTTTAGTCCCGATCTAGCCCCGGTTTTAGTCCCAGTCTATTCCCAGTTTAGCCCTGTTTTAGTCCCAGTTTAATCCCAGTTTTAATCCCAGTCCTAGTTCCAAGTCCCGGTCCAGTCCCGGTCTAGTCCCGGTCTAGTCCCGGTCTAGTCCTAGTCCGGTTCTAGTCCCTGGTTTAGTCCCTGGTTTAGTCCCAGGTTTAGTCCCAGGTTTAGTCCAGGTTTAGTCCTGTTTAAGCCCTATTTTTAGTCCCTGTCTAGTCCCGGTTCTGGTCCTGGTTCTGGTCCTCGTAGCTCGTTGGTCGGGTTTCGGGGCGGTGTGTTGTTCTCGTGTCGCGCGGGAAAAGACTCGACTCTCTCCGCGCGGAACAAAAGGACTCAGGTAACTCAGGTCACTCGTGTCGTCTGCCGCAGCTGTCTGACCCCGGGAGGACAGGAAGTGACCGCGCGCACACTTCCTGTCCGCCGTGTCCCCGCCTGATCCGCGTCACGAGAGCACAGCTGCGCTCCACACCTCCTCACACCTCTTCCTCCTCCGCTTCCTCCTCACAACAAAAATGTACGAGAGATTTTAAAACTGAAACAAAAACCCCGAAAAACTAAAAAGAACGAACCCGATTTGTGATTTTTTTTTTAACACAAAGACGAGAGAAGAAGCTCAAACGAGGTGAAAAACAATAACTGACTGATTCAAACGCTCTTCTTTTTTCATTTTGTTCAAACTGCACCTCTAGTCCTGGTTCTAGTCCTGGTTCTAGTCCTGGTTCTAGTCCTGGTTCTAGTCCTGGTTCTAGTCCTGGTTCTAGTCCTGGTTCTAGTCCTGTTTTAGGTCCTGATCTGGTTCAGTCATGATTAAATCTTGTTCTAGATCCGGTTCAGCTCTGGTTTAGTCCTGGTTTAAGTCCCGGTTTTAGTCCCGGTTCTAGACCTGGTTCAGTTGTGATTAAATCCTGTTTTAGACCTGGTTTTAGACCTGGTTCAGTCCTGGTTTTACACCTGGTTTTAGACCCAGTTCAGTGCTGATTAAATCCTGGTTTAGTCCTTGGTTTTAGACCTGGTTAAATCCTGTTTTAGTCCTTGGTTTTAGGTCCTGATCTGGTTCAGTCATGATTAAATCTTGTTCTAGATCCGGTTCAGCTCTGGTTTAGTCCTGGTTTAAGTCCTGGTTTAAGTCCCGGTTTTAGTCCCGGTTCTAGACCTGGTTCAGTTGTGATTAAATCCTGTTTTAGACCTGGTTTTAGACCTGGTCTGGTTCAGTCCTGATTAAATCTTGTTCTAGACCCGGTTCTAGACCCGCTTCAGCTCTGGTTTAGTCCCGGTTTTAGTCTGGTTTTAGTCCGGTTTTAGTCCCGGTTCAGTCGTGATTAAATCCTGTTTTAGACCCGGTTCAACTCTGGTTTAGTCCTTGTTCAGTCCTGGTTCAAGTTTATTTCTTATTTTTCTGTTTTATTTTGACATTTACATTTTTATAATTCTGTTTTATTTCACTCGTGTTTCTTTTTTTTTGCTCCTCATTTTATATTTTATATTTATAATTTTTATTGATATTTTGTTCAGTTTCGTGAGACGTTGGAGTTTTAATCTGCTCGTGTTTCTCCTCGGGGCGACTCTGACGCTCTGACTTCACGTGAATCACGGAGCAGGAGACGATTTTGAAACAACGACTCGTCAGAACGACACGTCGCCCCTGACTGATCCAGATCCAGGTCCTGATCCAGACCCTGATCCAGATCCAGGTCCTGATCCAGGTCCTAAATCCAGACCCTGATCCAGATCATGGAGAAAGTAACTGGGATTTCTTGTATCACCTACAAAGACGTGACATGAGATTTAACAACATTTAAACTGTTCTTCTGATTTACGCGACGATCGTTCGGTTCGTCACGTTTGGAGTTTTAAATTTAGAATTTTCTAACTCAGAATAAAACCGTTCAGACGTGTGTTTTTTTTTTCTTTTTCTGAATTTCAACGTCTGAAATTTTAAATCCTGAGACGTGTTGGCTCTGCTGATAAAAACAAAAACACTAAAGGAAATAGACCTGGTTCAGACCTCAAATAAACCTGGTTTAGACCTAGTTTAGACCTGAAATAAACCCAGTTTAGACCCAAAATAAATCTGGTTCAGTCCTGGTTTAGACCTCAAATAAACCTGGTTTAGACCTAGTTTAGACCTGAAATAAACCCAGTTTAGACCCAAAATAAATCTGGTTCAGTCCTGGTTTAGACCTGAAACAAACCTGGTTTAGACCTGAAACAAACCCAGTTTAGACCCAAAATAAACCTTGTTTAGTCCTAGTTTGGACCTTAAATAAACCTGGTATAAACCTGGTTAAGACCCGCTTTAGTTCCCGTTTAGTCCCGGTTTAGATCAGTTTGGTCCAGAACAGAGACACTGGGACATTTCTTGTATAAAATTGGGACAAATCAGTGTTTTTTGTATAAATCTGCTGGGACAGGGGGACACAGACTCAGACCTGGGACTGTCCCGGGTCAGTGGGGACGTCTGGTCTGGTCACCCCATAAAAAATAAAATAAAATAATCACTTCAAGATTCCTTTTTTTTTTTTTGACTTGAAATAAAGGAATATTTGGGAAAAACATGTCAGAATCAGTTTTACTCTCGCATAAAAGTGGCCAAAGAGTCACTAAAAGCTGAACAAAACCCCAAAAGTGAATCACAATCACATTAACAGCTCATCTAGGTCCAGAATGACTAATTTTCACCGTAACTCTGTCGTAAATGTGTTTTTTTTTTTTTTTTTTTTTGGTACAAATTTAAATCATCTCCTCAAACTTTCCTGGAGAACGGGCTAACGTTAGCTTTAGCTTTAGCCGACTTTTGAACATTTAAAAAACTCCACAAATCCGACGGTTCACGTCAAATAAACCCGTGTTATTCTCGTGTAACTGCGGACATTTCGGATTATAACTCTCTCGGCTTCGTTTTCGTCGACGGCCGGGTCGGATTCAGCGCCTGTGCGACATTTTCCGTAAACTTTTAAAACTTCTCCAAACTTGAGCTAACTTGTGCTAACGAGCGCTAGCCCAGCCCTGCGTCCGTGGAGCGCACGCACACACGCACGCACGCGCCCGTAAAACTGTAGATGACGCAGTGACTCCCGCCGATGCGTCAACACAGCCGCCATCTTGGTACGGGAGTAACGCCGCTTTAAATGAATGAACAACGAGACGAGACCAAAGAGCACCGGGAGGCTGGTCTAGACCTGGCTTAGACCTGGTTTAGTCCGAGTTTAGACCTGAAACAAACCTGGCTTAGACCTGGTCTAGACCTCGCTTAGACCTGGTAAACTAGGACCTGGTTTAGACCTAGTTAAAACCTGGTTTAGACCTGATTTAGTCCTAGTAAACAAGGACCTGGTTTAGACCTAGTTAAGACCTAGTTTAGACCTGAAATAGTCCTGGTTTAGACCTGGTTATACCTGAAATAGTCCTGGTTTAGATCCAGTTTAAACCTGGTTTAGACCTGATATAGTCTTGGTTTAGTCCTAATTTAGACCTGAAATAGTCCTGATTTAGATCTAAAATAATCCAGTTCAGTCCTAGTTTAGACCTGGTTTAGACCTGAAATAGTCCTGGTTTAGATCCAGTTTAGACCTGGTTTAGACCTGATATAGTCTTGGTTTAGTCCTAGTTTAGACCTAATTTAGACCTGAAATAGTCCTGGTTTAGACCTGAAATAGTCCTGGTTTAGACCTGAAATAGTCCTGGTTTAGACCTGAAATAGTCCTGGTTTAGACCTGCTATAGTCCTGGTTTAGATCTAAAATAATCCAGTTTAGTCCTAGTTTAGACCTGGTTTAGACCTAGTTAAAACCTGGTTTACTCCTGCTTTTATCCTGGCTTAGTCTTAGTTCAGACCTGATTTAAACCTGGAATAGTCCTGGTTTAGTTCTGGAATGGCACAGGTTTGGTCTTTGTTTTGGACGTGAAATAGTCCTGGTTTAGACCTAGGTTAAACCTGAAATAGTCCTGGATTAGTCCTAGTTTAGACCTAAAGTAGTACTGGTTTAGTCTTAGTTCAGACCTGATATAATCCTGGTTTAGACCTGAAATAAACCTGGTTTAGACCTAGTTTAGACCTGAAATAGTCCTGGATTAGTCCCAGATTAATCCTGATTTAACCCTAGTTCAGACCTGGTTCAGACCTGAAATAAACCTGGTTTAATCCTAATTTAGACCTTAAATAGTCCTGGTTTAGTCCCAGATTAGTCCTGATTTAACCCTAGTTCAGACCTGATTTAGACCTGACATAGTCCTGGTTTAGTCCTGGGTTTGAAACACAACATCTAGAATCTTAAGACCTCAAAATTAAATCTCACGTATGAAATGTTCTGCTTTACTCTTTCGTCCGGACTCTTCGCTGATCTTGTAAAAAACTTTTATCTTAGACCTTAGACCGTAGAACCCCCCCGTACCAAGATGGCGGCGGCATTAACGCACGCCGAGAGTCCGCACGCGACATCTACCGCTCCGCCATCTCCGTAAACCGCGCAGATGTGGTTACTCATTCAACATCAGCGGTTTTACACCCCGAAAAACCAACTTCAACGCACGTACCTTCCCGCGTCGAACGAGCACGGACCCTGCGCTTTATCCCGACGCGTTTTCCTCCCCCGTTCCGCGTTTAGTTTCGTGGTAATTCCGTCCTGTTTTCCAGCGTTATTCCCTCTGCCGCTCCGGTGCCATGTTCGCCCTGCTCCCGGAGACGAGTAAAGACTGGAAAAGGCGAGGCGCGTATCACTCCGCCGCGACCGCGCACACGAACTAGTCCCTCCCTATTTCGCTGTTATTGTCGCGCCGTTCCAGCTCTCCGGTAAAATAACAACCGTGACACATTTCCCGCACTTTTCCCCCAACATACATTTACAATTCGAGATGAGTTTTTATTCGTTAATTTAGCGGTAATGCTTTGGGACGTTACGATTCGTGCGTGACGCGAGCAAGACGCAGCTAAACCTTGGTTATTTCACTTTAAACGCCCCTGACGAGCTCGTGACAGGAATATAACGTTAAGATGTGATGTTTAAAGGGCATAAAGTGCGTTAAAGTGCGACACGTGTTGAGTTGGAGTGAGTTTTGTGTCGTTAAAGTGCGTCGGACTACTTACGGAGGCGGCGCTGCGTCTTGGGAGCGTCTCACAAGTTGCCCGCGGCTCCAGTGAGTCTGGGCCGCCGCGGTTCCTTCTCTTTTGTTTTCTTTTGTCGTCGGCCGCCGCTATTCAACAGCTTCAAAGGCGCCCGAGTCGGTCATTTATTCAGAGTTTTAATCGGAGCGATTTAGAAAAGCGCCACGGAGGAGTTAGTCCCGGAGGAGAAGGCGCAAGCGGCGGCGCGTGTTGGATCCGACGCGGGGAGCGCAGTGCGGCCGCGTCGGAGCCGCAGCGGGACGTGGGGCGGCCGCTAGAGGGAGGCAAAACCTCAAATCACACTAAGAAGAAGACTTACACATGTCGGGATTTACACATGTCGGGGTTTACACATGTCGGGGTTTACACATGTCGGGGTTTACACATGTTGGGATTTACACATATCGGGTTTACAAATGTCGGGTTTACACATGTCGGGATTTACGCATGTCAGGTTTTCGCATGTCGGGATTTACGCATGTCGGGATTTACACATGTCGGGATTTACATGTCGGGGTTTACACATGTCGGGTTTACACATGTCGGGGTTTACACATGTCGGGATTTACACGGGGTTTACACGTGTCGGGATTTACACATGTCGTGATATACACATGTCGTGATATACACATGTCAGGATTTACGCATGTCAGGATTTACGCATGTCGGGATTTACACATGTCGGGATTTACACATGTCGGGATTTGCACATGTCGGGATTTACGCATGTCGGGATTTACGCATGTCGGGATTTACGCATGTCGGGATTTACACATGTCGGGATTTACGCATGTCGGGATTTACGCATGTCGGGATTTACACGTCGGGATTTGCACATGTCGGGATTTACACATGTCGGGGTTTACACATGTCGGGCTTTACACATGTCGGGATTTCGGGTTTACACGGGATACACGGTACACATGTGGGGTTTACACATGTCGGGTTTACACATGGTCGGGGTTTACACATGTCGGGGTCGGGGGTTTACACATGTCGGGGTTTACACATGTCGGGATTTACACATGTCGGGGTTTACACATGTCGGGGTTTACACATGTCGGGATTTACACATGTCGGGGTTTACACATGTCGGGATTTACACATGTCGGGGTTTACACATGTCGGGGTTTACACATGTCGGGATTTACACATGTTTTACACATGTCGGGGTTTACACATGTCGGGATTTACACGTCGGGGTTTACACATGTCGGGATTTACACGTCGGGATTTGCACATGTCGGGATTTGCACATGTTCAGTGTTGGGGAGTAACAGATTACATGTACCGGAGTAATCAGAGTACAAATGATGAGTAACTGTATTCAGTTACAGTTACTGTTTCAGTGAGTGGTAATTGGATTACAGTTACTTTGTTGAAATAAATGAATTACACGGCGGGATTTTCCTGTTTTCACATTTTGGGCTATTCCCCCTTTTTTTTTTTTCTTGGTAATTTTACTCATTGCCGGAAACTAAACCAGGACTAATTTAGATCTAAACCAGGTCTAAACCAGGACTAAACCAGGTCTAAACCAGGACTAAACCAGGATTTAACAGGACTAAATCCTGCTGTGTGGACGTGTTTCTTCGTTTTCTATCAATAATATTTTTAATTTGGTTCAGTAAAGTCTGGACTTTTTATTTTCTTTTATCAGACAAAACGTCTAAGGTGAAGATTTCCTCGTCTTTGTTTCTCTACAACAAACCAAATAATCCAAAGTAATCAGATTACATTACTCACTTTAAGTAATTTAATGGATTACGTTACAAACTACATTTTGGGGAGTGTAATCTGTAATCTGTCTGGGGATTACATTTTAAAAGTAAACTTCACAACGCTGCACATGTTGGGATTTGTAAAAAACAAACTTGATTATGTTTGTGACGAGCTGCGTTTCCCCGGGACAGTCCAGGTCTGAGTCTGTGTCCCTGCGGATTTATACAAAAAAACACTGATGTGTCCCAAATTATACAAGAAATGTCCCAGTGTCTCTGTTTTTAACCAATCTGATCTAAACCAGGACTAAACCAGGACTAAACCAGGACTAAACCAGGTCTAAACCAGGACTAAACCAGGTCTAAAACCAGGACTAAACCAACCAGGACTAAACCAGGTCTAAACCAGGACTAAACCAGGTCTAAACCAGGACTAAACCAGGACTAAACCAGGGTCTAAACCAGGTAAACCACTAAACCAGGTCTAAACCAGGACTATTTCAGGTCTAAACCAGGTCACTAAACCAGGACTAAACCAGATCTAAACCAGGACTAAACCAGGACTATCTACAGGTCTAAACCAGGACTAAACCAGGTCTAAACCAGGACTAACCAGGTCTAAACAGGTCTAAACCAGGTAAACCAGGACTAAACCAGGTCTAAACCAGGTTCAAAACCAGGACTAAACCAGGACTAAAAACAGAACTAAGGTCTAAAACAGGTCTAAAACCAGGACTAAACCAGGACTAAACAGGACTATTTCAGGTCTAAACCAGGTCTAAACCAGGACTAAACCAGGTACTAAACCAGGTCTAAACCTAAAGGACTAAAACAGAACTATATCAGGTCTAAACCAGATCTAAACCAGGACTAAATAAACCAGGCCTAAACCAGGACTAAAATAGAAGTCTAAACCAGGTCTAAACCAGGACTAAACTAGGACTTAAATAGAACTATATCTGGTCTAAACCAGGACTATATCAGGTCTAAACCAGGTCTATATGAGGTCTGAACCAGGACTGTTTCAGGTCTAAACCAGGTCTAAACCAGGACTAAACCAGGACTAAAACCGGACTAAACCAGGACTAAACCAGGGACTAAAACAGGACTAAAACCAGGTCTAAACCAGGTCTAAACCAGGACTAAACCAGGACTAAACCAGGTCTAAACCAGGACTAAACCAGGTCTAAACCAGGTCTAAACCAGGACTAAACCAGGACTAAACCAGGTCTAAACCAGGACTAAACCAGGACTAAACCAGGTCTAAACCAGGACTAAACCAGAGAATCTTTGTGTTTTTAGTGTCAGATTTTACTCACGTGAGTCGAGGATGAACAAAACTACAAAAAAACTTTTAACACGGTTTTATTTCCACCAAACGTCCAAACCCGGACTGAACCGGTTTAGAATTTAGAAAAATCCTGAACCGTAGAATCTTTGTGGAATAAATTTAAGACAAAGTTTGGTTTGGCATTTGATTTAAAGTCTCCTGACAGAACCTGCACTTAAAGCTGCGCTGTGTAACTTTTCGGCTGGGGCTCCGTCACCCGCTCGTTTCCACGGAGACGTCGTCGCTCTGCCTGAAATGTTCCGCAGTGCGACTTTAAACGGCTCGACTTCACATTTATTCAGTTACGGCTCAAAAATCCCGAGAAAAACAGACATGGCGAGTGCGAGCGGCGTCGCCCCTCCGCAGATCTGACCCGGGACTGCGTCTGGTTTGGTCTCCGTGACGACAGAAAGGTTTTGATGCCATACGGTGGAACATTCCGGACAAAGCAGCAACAACAAGTTACACGATGCAGCTTTATATACATTTTTTAAAACGGACAAATCTGGAATCATGTTTTGTTTTTTTCATTTTGTTTTGGATGTTTTTTTGTTTTTTTATCGCGCTGTACAGAAATATTCCACAGTACGGCTTTAAAACACTGGAACTGGAATTGATTTTATTGTTGAAGATTTGATTGTTTTGTTTTTAAAGCTTTGAATGTTCCGGAATGTTTTTATATTTCTATTGGATTTTTTTAGTTTGTTTTTTTATTTGTTTTGTGCAGAACTTTAGAAACTGTTTAGACCTGGTTTAGACCTGGTTTAGTCCTGGTTTAAGTCCTGGTTTAGACCTGGTTTAGACCTGGTTTAGTCCTGGTTTAAGTCCTGGTTTAGACCTGGTTTAGTCCTGGTTCAGTCCTTGGTTGTCCTGGTTTAGTCCTGGTTTTATCTCCATTTAGTCCTGGTTCAGTCCTGGTTTAGTCCTGGTTTAGTCCTGGTTTAGTCCTGGTTTTGTCTCCATTTAGTCCTGGTTCAGTCCTGGTTTAGTCCTGTTTAGACCTGGGTTAGTCCTTGGTTTCAGTCCTGGTTTAGTCCTGGTTTTAGACCTGGTTTAGTCCTGGTTTTGTCTCCATTTAGTCCTGGTTTAGTCCTGGTTTAGTCCTGGTTCAGTCCTGGTTCAGTCCTGGTTCAGTCCTTGGTTCAGTCGTGGTTCAGTCGTGGTTTAGTCCTGGTTTAGACCTGGTTTAGTCCTGGTTTTGTCTCCATTTAGTCCTGGTTCAGTCCTGGTTTCAGTCCTGGTTTAGTCCTGGTTTAGTCCTGGTTCAGTCCTTGGTTCAGTCCTGGTTTAGTCCTGGTTTAGTCCTGGTTTTGATTAAAAGTGTTTTGTTTGTGTACTGGAGACTCTCAGGTCCAAACTTCGTGTCAGATTCGTATTTTTGTATTTTATTTTATTTTTTATTTTTTATTTTTTTTTGCGTCTTTTCTCCTCGGACAAAAGACTCAAGTGTCTGAACACAAACGGATCGAGTGTCTCCCCGCGGGCGACACCCTCACGCTATTTTTACCCCCGCGGACGTGTCGCAGTGCGGACACACGCCGGGAGTCTGACCCGCAACCTCCGCCGCCGCCGCCGCCGTCACCACCACCGCTTTTCATTTTACAGCATTTTTATTTCTCGTGACAGAGACAAAACATTTCATATTTACACAAAGTTACACAAAATGATGAGCAGCGAAAACAAAAATCAAAATCTAAAAAAATCACAAACATTATTATAAAAAAAAAAAAAAAGTGCAATTAGTGACTGGATTAAAGGCAAAAACATCGATTGATTAAATTATTTTCGTGTAATTCTGATTATTTCAGACAAACCGACAGACCCTTTATTTTTAATCTGAAGTGAAAACAGCAGAACAAACAAACAAGAAGAAGAAAACTCCACGTCAAAAACTTTTCCTGTGGCGGGAGGATAAAACGATCTGTGTGTCGTTTGTTCGTTTTTCAAAATAAAAACAAATAATAAAATGAAAAAAAAAAAAAAACACAGATAAAGATTTGTTTTTTTCAGTTTTCGATTTTGTGTAAACCAGAACTAAACCAGGACTAAACCAGGACTAAACCAGGACTAAACTGTTTTCAGTCCTGGTCTTGGTCCCGGACTCAGTCCCAGTCTCAGTCCTGGTCTCAGTCCCGGTCTCGGTCCCGGTCTCAGTCCCGGTCTCGGTCCCAGCCTCAACCTCGATCCCGGTCTCAGTCCTTGTCTGGTCCCATTCTGGTCCCATTCTGGTCCTGGTCTCAGTCCCGGTCTCAGTCTCAGTCTGGGCCCAGTCTAAGTCCTGGTCCTGGTCCCGGACTCAGTCTAAGTCCTGGTCCTGGTCTCAGTCTAAGTCCCGGTCTGGTTCCTGATCTGGTTTCCTGATCTGGTCTAGTCCGGTCTCTGTCCTGGACCTGGATCTGGTTTAGTCCTTAATCTGTTTTTTTTTTTTCATTTTGGTTTTGGAGACAAATAATGAAGAAAATCGTTGTTTATTTATTTTATTTTTCTTATTTTTATTTTATTTTGAAAATCGACTGACACTGTTGTAACCGGAGGCACTGCTCCGTCTGTCCGTTAAACCTTTGCGTGTCGTGTTACCGTGGCGACCGCTGAAGAGTTTAAAATAGTTGTGACGCACCGAATATTCGACAAACAAAAATATTCAGTATATAAAATAAACTTTTACTTTCTTTTAAAAATAAAAACAAATGTCTACAAATTTATTCTTGAACATTTATATAATTACAAAAAAAAAATTAAATAATGAAAAATTTTCCGGTTTCGTTATTCGACCAAGCGTTTCATTTTTATTCGGTTTCAGCCACAAATTTTCTTTTCGGTGCCTCCCCTAAAAAAAATAAAAAAAAAAAACTTAAAAAATTGATTCAAAGCTTTAACAAAAATCCAAAACTGGACATTCAGGCAGAAGAAACATTTGCTGGTTCAAATCTGCAAAAGCAAAAATTTCAAAACTCAAATTCAGCCGAAGTTTTGACATTTTTGTTTTTAGTTTTTTTTTTTTTAAATGAAATAAAAGAAGAATTATTTTTGCGGTGATGTTTGGTTACAGCTTTGGACAATACCTTTAGTAATATCCAGTGTTGGGAAGATTACTTTAAAAATGTAATCCCCTACATTAAAGTACTTAAAGTGAGTAATGTAATCTGATTACTTTGGATTACTTGATTTGCTGTAGAAAAGCAAAGACGAGGATGGTTTAGACCTGGTTTTAGTCCTGGTTCAGACCTGGTTAAGACCTGGTTTTAGTCCTGCTTTAGTCCTGCTTTAGTCCTAGTTTAGACCAGGTTTAGAACTGGTTTAGACCTGGTTTTAGACCTGGTTTGGACCAGGTTTAGTTCTGTTTTAGACCTGGTTTAGACCTGGTTTTAGTCCTGGTTCAGACGTGGTTCAGACCTGGTTTTAGTCCTGCTTTAGTCCTAGTTTAGAACTGGTTTAGACCTGGTTTTAGACCTGGTTTTAGACCTGGTTTGGACCTGGTTTTAGACCTGGTTTTAGACCAGGTTTAGAACTGGGTTTAGACCTGGGTTTAGACCTGGTTTTAGACCTGGTTTTAGATCTGGGTTTAGACCTGGTGTTAGACCTGGTGTTAGACCTGGTTTTAGACCTAGTTTTAGACCTGGTTCAGACCTGGTTTAGACCTGGTTTAGTCTAATTTTAGACCTGGTTTAGTCTCATTTTCAGACCTTGTTTAAACCTTGTTTAGATCTGGGTTTAAACCTGGTGTTAGACCTGGTTTTAGACCTAGTTTTAGACCTGGTTTAGACCTGGTTTAGACCTGGTTTAGTCCTGGTTTAGACCTGGTTTAGTCCTGGTTTAGTCCTGGTTTAGTAGACCTGGTTTAGACCTGGTTTAGACCTGGTTTAGTCCTGGTTTAGTCCTGGTTTTTAGTTTACCTGGTTTAGTCCTGGTTTAGTCCTGGTTTAGACCTGGTTTAGACCTGGTTTAGTCCTGGTTTAGTCCTGGTTTAGACCTGGTTTACCTGGTTTTCCTGGTTTAGTCCTGGTTTAGTCCTGGTTTAGACCTGGTTTAAGTCCTGGTTTAGTCCTGGTTTAGTCCTGGTTTAGTCCTGGTTTAGTCCTGGTTTAGACCTGGTTTTAGACCTGGTTTAGTCCTGGTTTAGTTCTGGTTTAGTCCTGGTTTAGTCCTGGTTTAGTCCTGGTTTAGACCTGGTTTAGACCTGGTTTAGTCCTGGTTTAGTCCTGGTTTAGTCCTGGTTTAGTTCTGGTTTAGTTCTGGTTTAGTCCTGGTGATTGACTGATGATTTTAATGTTTTTTTAAATGACCCGTCAGCAGATTTTCACCACCAAAACACACAGAAATGTTCAGTTTTTATTTTGTCTGGTAAATATTGGGTTAAATGGAGCGACGCCGGCTCGTTACGCTCGACCCAACATCAGCGTGAAGTCGTCCGTGTTCGGTTCGACCCCCGACCCGCGTGAAAACCTCAGGCACAGGCAGAACACGCGGTTTTATCTCCTCGAGGCTCGACTTCTGCTCAAAAACACCAGGCCGCCTCCAAACGCTTCACGTCTTTTCAGGACTAAACGTAAATAAATAAACCCGGGGGAACAAAGGCGTGGGTCTGCGGGCGCTCACCTGCCGCTCGCCTGTGGGTGCACCTGTCGCGCGCCTGTCGTGTTTGAGCGGTCGGAGGATGGACGGCGGTTCAGATGAAGGCACTGAAAAGCTTTGATCCAAACGGACTCGGGTCTAAAAAAAAAAAAAAAAAAAAAAAAAAGGCGCTGGACCTGATTTTTCGTGTCCCGAAGTGAAAAAAAAACAAAAAACGAGTCCGTCGAGTCCGAACGTGAAGAGTTTTACTGTCAGACGAGCAGGAAGGACAGCTGTTAGCATGCTAGTCCTGGTTTTGGTTTAGTCCAATTTTAGACCTGGTTAAGTCTTGATTTAAACCTGGTTTAGACCTGGTTTAGTCCAGGTTCAGTCCAGGTTCAGTCCAGGTTTAGACCTAATTCAGTCCTGGTTTAGACTTGGTTTAAACCTCTTTTAGACCTGATTTAGTCTCATTTTAGACCTGATTTAGACTTGATTTAGTCCTGGTTTAATCTCATTTTAGACCTGGTTTAGTCCTGGTTCAGTCCTGGTTCAGTCCTGGTTTAGACTTGGTTTAAACCTCTTTTAGTCCTGGTTTAATCTCATTTTAGACCTGGTTTAGTCCAGGTTTAGTCCAGGTTCAGTCCAGGTTCAGTCCAGGTTCAGTCCAGGTTCAGTCTTATTTTAGACCTGGTTTAGTCCTGGTTTAGTCCTGGTTTAGTCTCTGGTTCAGTCCTTGTTCAGTCCTGGTTTAGACCTGGTTTAGTCCAGGTTTAGTCCAGGTTTAGTCCAGGTTTAGTCCAGGTTTAGTCCAGGTTTAGTCTCATTTTAGACCTTGTTCAGTCCTGGTGTTTTTTGTTTGACAGTAAAACTTCTCTCTGGTCTGAACTTTATAAAAATCTCGTATAAACTCACGGCGCTGAATAATTCAGACGCTCTGAACGCAGAAGGTCCGAGAGGAAAAACTCTGGACCTCGTGAAATGTTTAGAACGAACCAGTTTTGTTTTTTTTTACGTTTTTTTCGGAAGTAAAAATCAGGTGCAGCGCCGTGAAAAGTCGCCGCAGCTCCAGCGCGACGGAGGAGCTACTATCTGTGACTGTCCTCCACGTCCGACGGAGTGTCCAGCTCCAAAACGGGATTCACAAAACCCTCAAACTCAGAGTCCAAGTCCAAGTCCTGGTCCAGCGGGTCCTGGTCCAGCGGGTCCGGGTCCGGTCCGCGGCCCGTCCCCGGTTCGGCGCAGTCCTGGGAGCTGATGAAGTCGTTCTCCCACTCCAGGGCGGTGGACTCCTCGGACGTGGGTTTAGATCCGGGTCTGAGCGCGGCTCTCAGGATGTCCTCCTCCGTCCGCGAGCGCTCCCACGGCGGCAGAGAGCGGTTTATCCCTGGAAAAACACAAACGGATCAGCGGGAATCGGGAAAACAACAACCACCTCATCCCACCTCGCGCACTTTTGTCTCTGAACGCTCCGAAACCGTTTATTCATTTTAGACCTGGTTTAGACCTGGTTTAGCCTCATTTCAATCTGGTTTTAGACCCGTTTTAGTCTCAGTTTATTCCTGATTCAGTCCCTGATTCAGTCCCGGTCTAGTCCCTGGTCTAGTCTCTACTCTAGTCCCCGGTTCAGTCTCTGGTTCAATCTCTGGTTCAGTCCTCTTTTAGTCCTGTTTTAGTCCTGGTTTCGTCCTGGTTGAGTCGCATTTTACACCCCTTTTAGACCTGTTTTAGTCTCAGTTTATTCCTGATTCAGTCTCTGATTCAATCCTGGTTTACTCCTGGTTTAGTCCTGGTTTAGTCTCATTTCAACCTGGTTTTAGACCATTTTTATTCTCAGTTTATTCCTGGTTTAGTCCCTGATTCAGTCCCTGGTCTAGTCTCTGGTCTAGTCTCTGGTCTAGTCCTGGTCTAGTCTCTGGTCTAGTCTCTGGTCTAGTCTCTGGTCTAGTCTCTGGTCTAGTCTCCGGTTCAGTCTCCGGTTCAGTCTCCGGTTCAGTCCTCTTTTAGTCCTGGTTTTGTCCTAGTTTAGTCCTGGTTTAATCTCATTTTACACCCGTTTTAGTCCTGTTTTTAGTCCTGTTTTAGTCCCCTGGTCCAGTCCCCAGTCCAATCCTGGCTCA